ACGATGCCTCTGGCAAAAGGAAACCTAACGGTGTCTCTAGCAAAAATAAAAATAAACTAATGATTCCTGATGGTGCAAATGAATTTTATTATCATCTTTGTTAACATCCTTGTTATCAAAAGATCTGAAGTGATTATAAGGTCGAAGAATTTCATAGTGTTTCGACTCAACTGCTTAAGCAAAATTTATTCATTAAAATAAATTAAAAATGTTTAATTGTGCATAATTTTAATAAATTGACAGTTATAAGGAAATTTCGCCATTTTACTATTTCCCTATTTTTTTAATATATTGCTTAACTATGAATTTAAAGTACGACAGGTTTAGAGTCTTACCTTGGACACTGAAATGAATATTAGGTGAAAGAGGAGTGGGTGACCAAAGGTGAAACCTGAATGGTGCGAGACGGATCGTTGAGTGTCAAGTTCAAGTTTTTTAAGCTATAAAAAACTAAATGTAAAAAAATTAATTAGCAAATTTTTTTACGAAATTAATCAGCCTAAGACGCGTGTTAAAAAACGTGAAAGAAACGGTAGAATTTATTACGATTACAGTATTACTTTTTTTGCGGACAGATGGTTTCATTTGCGATTTACCGCAGGTGTTGACCTTTTACGCTATACAATGTGACGTAATATAAGCAAATTGTTTCTAGCATCATTCTAATATTAACGTTTTTTTCTTATTTCTCCGCAAAAATTATAGAATTTTCGAATTTCTCTAGTAAAAATCTTCATTATTCATCGAAAATACTTAATAATATTATGATCGTAATGGAAAGGGGTCAAAGGGTCATCTTTATTAATGCACTTTTTATCTATTAACGAATATAGCACAATTGAATAAATAATATATTCTCTTCCTGTTGTATAAGAAAAAAAGCAAAAAAATAATAATAATAACAATAAATTCTTAATTTAAACAATGCAAATAATACTAAAAAAAGAAAAAGAACAATAAAAAACTAAATCTGTCAACCAGAAACGAACGTAAAATTTAAATAATTTGAGAAAATATCAATAAATATTTTTCTTATTCTTTAAAATAAAAAATAACAATATAAGATTCTTATTCTTTAAAATAAAGCCTAACTATGTGCCTTTTTCATAATAAAATTTGCCTATGCTGGGAAACTAGTATAAAGCAAGTATAATTTGAAAAATGTGAAAAAATTGAAAAAATAGATGAATCATAATTTTTTTAAAGAGTCCTTAGCATTGCTGATTAGATTTGCCCTGCTGGCTTATTCTAGAGAAATACGCGGGGGAGTACTTTAGCGATAGAAGTACAAGTGAGCCCCTCAACACCACTCGGATTTTTGGGCAGATTTTGCTCTTGCGGAGGAGTGAAACTTCAATATAAACGCTCTGAACTGAACAACACACTGGGCCATTCTGCTTTCCTAAAAAAAATTACAATACAAATATAATAATATATATTAATATATATTAGTACATATTATTAAATAATATATACTAATATATATTAATGCTAATGTATATTATAATAATACATAATAATATAATAATATATATAATAATATAAATTAAAATGATATAATCGCATAAAATAATAAAAGTATAACTAAAATATGTTAAATTATAATTATAACTAAAATGTTCTCTTTTAATATTATAAATTGGCTTAAAAATTATCATAAAAATTAAAATTATCACCGAAAAAACTAATTTATTAATTTCGAGATTATTTTGACGTAATAATTTTTAATTGAACAATAAATAGATAGAAGGATTGATGAAGGGTATCATTAATTAGAATTGGTACAGGTGTCTTCGCTATAAATTGCGTTATCTATGCAAACAGAGATTATTTTCGAGCATGATTACCACTTAACAGTCGGTTATTTAGTCGTCATTACATCACTCAATATTTTGTTACAATATCCTTCAATATACTTAAGTATGTAATTAATTAGTTTAGATATCTTAGAAAATCTACTTATAGCAAAAATTTAGAAGTACTAAATTTGGAAAATTTGGACAAAATTAACAATTAGCAGTTGAACTTCTACAATTTTAGTTGAAATCAATAATAATTGCAGAAATTATTTGGAGAAAATAAATTAATTAATTTAATTTTTCTTTATTCTTGAGTTTCATGCTCTAAGTTCATCATCTGACAAAAGTAAGAATTCTGAATTTTTGAAATTTCTGAAAAATAATATTTTTTGCAATTACTTAATATTTTAATGATAGTGAAATAAAATTGAGATAATTTATGAAACAGTTTGTTGCAAATGATTATAAAAATGACCAATTATCAAATTACTAACATATCGAAATGAGAATGAATGTAAAAATTTTCAATTTCCATTTCATACACCTAATTCTTTGAAACTATAGAATTTTTGAAAAAAAATTGTTGCAAGATAAGATAAAATGATCGAATTTGCAATGGTTCTAGCTTAAAAAGGTGAAATATTAATTATTGAAAACATAAAATCGAAAGAAATAAGCACTGATAAATGATGATATCAGGAAGGTAATCAAATGCGGAACACCAAAAATTTTCCGCCTTACAAATGAAATTTACATAAAAATAGAAGCAGCGAATCCATAAAATATCAGACTGATGGGAAAATAAGGCTACGAACAAAGTGATATTCTGAAATATTTCTCACCTCTGGTACACGACATATTTGTTATTGCTATCTGAGGAAAGGATAAAAAATTCGAGAAAATGAATTTCATCGATTTATGCCAGTAGAGCAAACTTTTACACAAAGCTTTTGTGCAAATTTCGCAAATTTTTTTATGGAAATATAAAAATATAAAGTAAGGATTTTTACTTAAAAATAAAGTTACAAGAATTTGTCAGAAATTTCTATCATCAATTTCGACAAAGAAAAGCGTCTAATTTTAATTGTTTAATTTAAATGATTTTAATTGAAAGTTATTATTTAATTATTATAAAAATGAAATGAATTATTATAAAAAAGCAATAATATTGCGAATTTTTCTTTTTTTTAAATGCCATTTCAACATTTATTAAAGGAACAACGATTTTAAGATTCTTAAAGTCCATTTGAAATTTTTCTAAAATAAAAATTAAAAAAAAATTATTTCTTTTAATGTAATTTTATTCAATTTTCAGTATTCAGTAGATAGAAATCAGTATTTTTTAAATTATGAATTTTAGATATAATTAAACAATAAATTATAAATATAAGTAAATAATAAATTATAGACGAATTTTCACTGATCACGCACCATTTTTTCTTAAACTAGCTCCGCTGGTTCTTAACGCAGATTTTTAGAGATTTTTGCTTAGAAACCATTTATTCTCAGAAATATGCACAAGTACCACGCAGGTTCTTTGATATTCTTCGATAGAAAAAGGCTGTTTGGCTCATTTAAAAAATAGTATAATATAATTTTTTTTGTAAATTTGATAAAATCTTTTTCACTTTTTCTTATAAATATTTCGATTTTAATAAAATTATTATCGTTTAATTTGATTTAAGATTATTATTATTTGCTTTAATAATAATGTAATTTTTTAAAAAAAATTAAAAAAATTTTCATGAACTTTTGACCTTAAAAAAATTAACTGTTTATTACAGTGAGAGAATCGACATTCACTTGCGTAATTAGAACAAATAACTATCGTTGTCCTCTCAACCAATCGCTATTGAACCCTGTTGCTAAAATCTCCGCCTTACTTATCAAAACGATTGACTACCGGCGACCAATATTCCAGTAGCAACAGCAATTTTATTTTTATCCAGTAGCATTAGTTAAATGTCAAGAAAACCTGATTCGCCTCATTTAAACGAATAAATTCATCGAAAGTGATCGCATTTTTTTTTATGAATTAAAAAAAAGAAAAGTACCAATTTGACTGATAAAATGGATATTTCCAATTGTTTTACGCGTATTTCGTTTAATTCAGAAAGAAGATTTGAAACGAATAATTTACATTTATCGAATATACGACCAATGAAAATCGAACCATTCCTTGTTCCTCAACTAGTCTACAATTCAATTTCACCATTAATGGATTTACAACATTTATATAATCCCATAAATCAACAAATGTTAATGCATATATCAGATATCTATGGTGAGTTAATAATTTAATACTAAACTATTCTAATTTTGTCTAATTTTTTATGGAAAATTTTCTGGATAATATAAAATTTCTTATCTCTTTTTTAAATTTCGAGTTATATTTTTTGAAATTTTTAGCTATCTATGCTGAATACTTTCATTAAGACAATTGTTATTATCTATATTCTTCAAATATTTCACATTCACCTTTGCTAGCTGTATTTGGCTAGCTGTACTTATTAATAATAAAAACGAGACCATTTAGATTTATTTAGGTACAAAAGTGTTCAAAATGTTATCCTAGTTCTAGGCCAAATACTAGAGACCGAATTTTTGAACTGCTTATGGGTTGGTCACAAATTACTTATTTTTGATAAAGTTCTTAACCATATTTTAGTATAGTTTAATGGTACTTTTAATGGCATATTTAACAAAGATGCTTTATTTCAAGTAATAGAATTCGAATATCTAAAATGAAATAGATTATAAAGGCTTTATAAAACTTATATAATTCATACATTTGAATTTATGACTTTTCTAATTTTTCAGCCTTTCGCTTTCTGATAACCGAATTTTTACATATGGCTTAAAAAAACTTATTAATTTCCTCTTCAAATTATTTCTTAGAAATTGCTTTCTTCTAGAAATTTAAATTGTATGATAAACATGCGATAAATATTGTATTGTATGACAAACATATTGCAAAAATTAATGGGATGTTTCATTCAAATATTTCTTGGCTTGAAAAGATATAAAAGGAAAGAAGAATTCAAAAATATAACAATACAATCAAAATAATATGTGCTCGACCTTTCGCGACCTTAAGGGCCTTAAACACGAATAGCTAAATCAGCGTATTTTCTTCTAAAATATTTTACATGTCCAATGTTATCCAAATATACCTATTGGATAGAGAATGCCATAAATAATATGTCACCTTTAGGCGTCGCACCTAATTTTCACATACATGGCAATGGCGATGTGAATACTTTAATAAAGCCGTTACCAATAATAAAAAAAGCAGAAATTGAAGAAGAGACTAAAAAAAGTCCAATTTCGAGTTTACAGGTAAATTTTACCAAAGTTGAATCGTGAAAAAATTTGTAAAAATAACAATATTTAATATCATTTATATTAATAATCTTTTTTTTTAATGATAAATTTCAAAATATATTATATGACATATAAAAATTGATATGTAAATAATAATCAATCGTTGGTTAAGGATAATTTAAGGATAATTGAAATAGGCTTTAGCTAGCTTTACAAATTTGAAATGCAACAATTATGCTATTGCTGACAACATTCCGGAAAGTAATTATTTTTCAACGGGCCTCTTATATCGAGTTGAATTCACTTTTATTGCAAATTATGTATAAATATTATGAATATTGAGAAAAAAAATAATTTTTAAAAGTATTTGAATGAAATGATTTTAAACAAAAATTTTGATTTTATTTCATTGAATTTTTAGTTTAATTTTTTAATAATTTCTTCCTTCAAAATTAATAATGATAAAACATAACAATAAATATAAAAGATAATAAAGATAGTGGTAAAAGATAAAATGATAACAGTGATACCATCAATAAAATCTTATCAATATTCTGAAATGAATAAGTATATACAGGAAAATAACAAAAAAAAGATTAAATCGTCGTTTTCAATAGATCATCTGCTTGGTTGTTCGGAATCGGCTATTCAATCCACTTCGCGAAATGTAAAATTTTTTAAAGTAATTCTTATTTAAAATTGATAATAATTGAAAAAATTAATTTTGTGAGCTGATAATTGAAAACTAATAAATATTCTAATGAAAATTACAGGATTCTCAGGAAACTATTGGCTACACTATCGATGCATTACAACTTTCAGATGGTCGATCAAAAAAGAGGAAGGAAATCATCAACGATGAGGTTTGAGCAGAAAGCAAATTTGCTTCAGCCATTATTATAACCATTTACAGCCATCCATTCGTTGTTAGATTATTATGGTTAATCCCTTATTATTTCAAGAATCTAAAATATTCCCCTCCCTCCGTTCGCCGAACCGTCATCGTCTTGTAAAACCATTTTATTTGCAAGTTTTAGGTTTTCTATTAGTATCACTAATGTACTCTTAAAATTCACCATATGCTACCTAAAATCCGTTTTAATCGACGCCTATGAATATTTGGGATTTGTTTTTCATTTTTTAGGTTAATGCTAAACATAGTTCTCAAGATCGATATCTTTGTAGTGCTTGTGGAAAATCATATGCCACAAGTTCGAATCTTTCACGCCATAAGCAAACTCATCGATCATTGGATAGCCCGTATGCCAAAAAATGTCATTATTGTGGTCGAACATATGTAAGCATGCCAGCACTTAGGTTCGAATTTATACTAAAGTTCACATTATTTTTAACAAATTTCGCAGCAATCAATAAAAATATGCGATTCATAGCCTAGTCAAGCCACTTTTCATCATGAAAAATATTGAAGATTACGGTAGAATATGCCTTTCCGTTTCACTAATGGTTTTTTATGATCATGAAAAAAGGTAGAGGAAATTATTGCCAAAATGGAAGATGGATTACGAGTGGTATACTCTATTATAATTTTAGTATGCATTTACTTACTCATGAAGCATGTCATCGATGTGAAATTTGTGGAAAGGCTTTTTCAAGACCATGGCTTTTGCAAGGCCATATGCGAGCGCATACTGGGCATAGGCCGTATGGTTGTGCACATTGCGGGAAAAAATTTGCAGATCGAAGCAATCTCAGAGCTCATATGCATACTCATTCAGGTATAATTATTAATGGCATATAATTTTTTACTTATTTTTCATTTATTTTTTTTTATTAGAAATTTGAGAAATATGGCAAATATCGATGCCATAATTTTTTACCTTTTTATTATTTTTAACAAATTTAAGCAGTCACTTTTTAAGAGCTTTTCTCAACATTTCTTGGTTGCATTATCCATTAGGATTAGGCAAATTTTGTCAGAGTTTACTTGGCTATGGAAATACTGATGGATCGTGAGAACCACTAGGATTAGAAGACTTACTTCTGCCTGCTAAAATTGTAACATTCGAAATGAGAACAACAACTCATTCTATATACTAACTCTATGTTCTAACTATATACTATATCTATATTCTAACTCATTCTATATTTCTTTAAATTTAAGAAATATTATTTATATTATTATAATATATTACCAAATATTAAATATATTATATTATATATATATATATATATAATATGCTTAATATATAATATATTAATAATATATTATATATATATATATATACGTTAAAATAATTTATGAAAAATTTAAGAAAATTTAATTATTTTTGTTCATTTTTTTCCATTTTCTTTTTCATAATTTTCATTTCATTTTTTTACGCTGAAAAATTCGACAGAAATCCAACAAAAATAAATAAATAACAAATAAAAACTGCTAAATTTTGAATAACGAATTTCCTTAATTAAATTTACTTTTTAAATTTTTAAACTGATTAAGTGATTAAAGAGCTTAAACCTAAGCCTAAGCCTAAGCCTAAATGCCAAACCATGAATAACGTTAAATTGGCATTCAACGAGTATCTTTCGTCATAAATAATCTTAATAAATGCGATATCTATCATTTTAAATTCTAATCTTATGGATCATACCAAGCTTTTTCGGTGGTCATAATAATAATAATAGGCGGTTAAATTATTGCTTATTATAATCCTAGCATCAAATTTGCCTTCTCTTAAGCCCTATATTAAAAGCTTATTATAATGCCTTTTTAAAACGTCAATAATAGGCCTAATAAAATATTCTTCGAATACAAGTGTTTTCGTTTTTTTGCAAAAATAACGAGATTTTTTAAATCTTTTAATAAAAATCATTATTTTAAAAATTCTTTTTTCCTATTGTTTTCTATTTGGTACTCAGCAATTTTATAATCAGAATTATTTTTTAATAATGATAAGCATCCATAATATCTTATCACATTAGCTTGAGTTTTTTTTAACAATGATAAATGTCCACAATATTTCACTGTACCATTTTATATTTCAGTCTGATTATTTTTGACAATGATAAGGATCCACAATATTTTATCATATCATTTTGCATTTCAATCATATAATTTTATCTACTAGTTTTGATCCAATTATGTCTTGAATATGGTGATTAGATGATGCCATTTTCGTCAAAATATTTTGATTTATAACGAACGAAAGTATGAAAGAAAGAAAGAAAGAGCTAAACTAAAATGTTCTCTTGGAACTTTCCATATATACTATTTATATATTTGTAGGAGTGAAAAAATATGCTTGTCCAGCATGTGGTAAACATTTCGCGTTGAAAAGTTATTTGAATAAGCATATGGAACTTGTTTGTCCGGTGAATCGAAAGCAACGCGCCGATATGAAAAATATTCGATAGTTTTTTCCATCTTAAATTTGTTATCGTTCGATAATATATTCGTAAACAAGTACCATTGTTATTAAAACGAGAAGAGTAACGAAAATGCGGGTTTCAAACTGTTTGTGATTTTTTTGTATAAATTTTTTGCTTTAACTAATCCAATTTATACGATTTTGCCAGAATAAAAAAATTTTATTTTTATTTTCAGGTGAAATTTATTTCCTTATAACCGCTCATTTATAATCGTTCATCATCATCATTATAATGATATCTGTTATAAACTCTTGTGTATCATCAGCCTTCCTTTTTATCAGTCTATCATTGCAACTAACCTCTAATTTCTTAAGCGAGTACCATTGTTGAATTTATATTGTTTGCCTTAAATTGTGACCAATTTATGCCAATGCTTTGTGATTTTCTGCAAATTTAAAATGCTAATGAATATTTTAAAAAACAAATAGAAATTTAAAAAATTTATCTAAAAAAAATTTATACTTTTCTTTTTTCCCACTTTTTTTTGAAGAGCAATTTAATTACACTTGCTTTGCTAATTTGTTAGTGCACAGAAATTTTCCCAAGGAATTAGGGAGTAATAAAAATATAGATGAGTCGCTAGGATCATCCGATTTTTGAGATGTAGATTTATTCCTGTGGGGAATACAGCATAAGCATTGGTATTATTGGTATTCCAAAACTCATCAAACCATTCTACTCCTTAAGTTATCATTGTAAGTTGAATGAATTGGACGAGATATATTGCGGAAATAAAATTTATCGAAAATTTATTTTATGAAATTTATCATAGCTGATTTAATAAACAATAACACGTTAAGGCAAAATTTGATTTCTTTGTGCTTATCACGCACCATTTATAAATTGTCTAATTCCACTAAGATTTTTTGCCTTAGAATTCTTGAAAATAGAAATATGGGTCATCGTTCGGATTTCAGCTAATACCAACTACAAGTTTGTTCATATCATATATCGATTTTGTGTATGCAAAACAGATCACTCGACTAATCTATCTTTTTAGAAGGATAATTAAATTTAAAGTTGAAAAGCAAAACTCATATAGGCCGGATCTCTTCTATATTTTGGTTAAATTTATATAGTACCACGGCTTTTTATTTAAATTTGCTTGAACGATTTAAAGGCTAATGAATCGAGTTACGTTTGCTACGTTACGAGGAAGCAGAAAATGAAAATCTCTTATTTGGAAAATCTAATACATACATTAAAAAAAAAAAAAATGCCCAAAAATTATATTGCTCATTCATAAGAATTTTAGAATTGCTTGAATTTTCTTTATCTGTTTAAAATTCTTCAGATTCATTGATTAAATTATGATATATCCATGGAAACGAACGATGTTGATCATAATTCTAATTAAAATTTTCAATAGTACGTGTTTGATATTATTTATTAAAAGCCTAATTCAACAAAGATGGCTCGTTCTGGAAAAATGGTGCGATTTTTTTTCCCTTTTTTCTTTATTCTATTAGCTCATTATTGGTTTATTTGGTAGTCGAATTTGAAAAATATGGTTTTTTAAAAATATTTTTTTTTAAATATTTGACTTTTTATATTTTTTTTGAAATGAAGATCATTGAAGGAAGACTGGTATTACAAAAAATTGTGGTTTGTCGTTTTTTTGGAGACCATTTCTGATTAGAATCGCTTCACTGGCTTTCTAGACTGTAAAAATTTTGTTGAGGGTGCCATTTGGTAGTAGAGGTGCAGATAGTATAGTTCATTTCCTATTCCATCCTGGATTATTTTTGCGCTCATTTCATTAGAATTATAATTCTATCCAATGAAATTAAATGAAGGCTTATCAATCGCATGGGTGAAGCAATCCAGCAATATTTTCATGCTTTTCCAGTAAATAGAAGGATAATTTAAGTAAAGGAATGACAAAAAACAAAGCGGTAAAAATAGGGAAATTTTTCATTTATTTATTAAACTTAGCCAAATTAACGTAGCAGAATAATATATGAATTTTTTAAATTGATGTTATGGATTTATATTGTGGATATGAATTTTTATTGATGTTATATCCGGCGGGCACAAGCTATTTTGACCGGAAATAATTAGCTTAGCTTGTCTCACAACTAATAAAACCTAATTTGCTTTTATGACTTTCTATTTTATGAGTTATTCTAGCGTGAAGTTGTTAGCCTGCATGTTGGACAAGCTGGAGTTCAAATTGGTAACGCTTGTTGGGAATTATATTGCTTAGAACATGGAATACAACCAGATGGTATTATGCCAATGGACTCAACGCTTGGTATCGAAGATGCGTCCTATAATACTTTTTTCAGCGAAACTCATTCCGGTAAAACGCATTTAGAGATTAGATGATTTTAGATTAACCGATTGAATTGACCTTATGTTCTAACCTTGTTTTAACTCTATGGTACTATTGGTGCAAAATTTATCTCATTCAAACATTCTAAAGACCATCTTCTAAAGATTGCGCAGTAAAAGCTTTTTACAACTTTTACTTTTTTACAACTTTTTACACTGCACCATGATCTTAGCGAAAAGAGCATTTCAGGCAAGCATGTACCTCGGGCAATTTTTATCGACTTGGAGCCAACTGTAGTCGGTTAAGATTTTTAAAATTTTCACGGTGCTATTTTATCTTTCTTGCATATTATCTATAATAAGTAATTAATTATCCTAGTTATATTTTTTTATGATTGCTTGTTATAGATGAAGTTCGAACTGGAACATATCGAACTTTATTTCACCCAGAGCAGTTGATAACGGGCAAAGAAGATGCTGCGAATAATTATGCTCGAGGTCATTACACTATTGGAAAAGAATTAATCGATGTATGCATGGATCGAATTCGAAGTATAATTTAATACTGGCAGAAATCATACAAAACTCTATCGTTTTTTAACTGATAGTCTTAACAGATTCACCACTCGACAATCCTATCCACGAGAAAAGAACAAACGTATAATCCAATTGCAATCATACCATTATCTAATAATCTTATAAAACTGTCATATATTTTAGAGTTAACAGAGAGATGCAATGGTCTGCAAGGTTTTTTAGTATTTCATTCATTTGGTGGTGGTACTGGTAGTGGTTTTGCATCACTTATGATGGAACGACTTTCAATTGATTACGGTAAAAAAGCTAAATTAGAATTCAGCATTTATCCTGCACCACAAATAAGCACCGGTAAACTTTATTTAAAAAATTTTGAATTTTTATTTTTCATAATTTATAAATTTTTTTCAGTAATTTTTTATTTGAATTGCTCATAAAATATTTAAAAATTTTTTTGAAAAGGAATAAAATTCATGGTACTTCGACTGTGGCTCATAAGTAATAATAGTTTATTTATTATTTATAAATTTATTATAATTCACAAACCTGCAAACCTGTCAGGATTTATCATTCGTAAATACCCGTACCTGTCACATAATCTCTTATAACTTTGGTACTTTCTATCTATCTGCGACATCATTGCCCTCTTTTAAGTGAATTTATGCAAGGAATTTCATTATGATTATAAACTAATATTTAAACATTGAAATATAAGAAATCCGATTGCAATCCATTTACACGTTATACGTAAATATCTGGTGAATGGTAACTCTTTATATTGGTTCTCTATTAAATCGCATGAAATAAATCTTTAGGTGAGAAAAAAAAAACTTGAAAATAAAGTACTACAAAAAAACTTGGTGATAAATTCTAAAAAATTTAACCTTTCAAAAAAAAAATTTCCACTTTTAACCGATAAAAATTTTAGCAATGGTCGAACCATATAATTCCATTTTAACTACGCATACCACTTTGGAACATTCAGATTGTTCATTTATGGTCGATAATGAAGCAATTTATGATATTTGCCGAAGAAATCTCGATATTAAAAGGTTATCGCATATTCGTCGAGTTTCGAGTTTCCTCTGGCAAAAATTTTCTTCCAAAATTGAAGAAAATTTATTTTTTTTTTTTTTAGGTATTAAAAAATATGGTAATAACACAATTTAAATTATCAAATTAATTATTAATTATTAATAAAATTATTAAAAAATTAATAAAATAAATTATTTTAGTCCAACTTATACAAATTTGAATCGACTAATAGCACAAATTGTTAGTTCAATAACGGCATCGTTGCGTTTCGATGGTGCTCTTAACGTTGACTTAACCGAATTTCAAACAAATTTGGTACCCTATCCACGCATTCATTTTCCACTAGCAACATTCTCACCTATTATTTCAGCGTAAATTTATATATATTTTTTAACAACCTTAAATTCTCACACTTCAATTCTCTTTTTTTAACCGTCTTTCGAACAAAAAAGTAATTATCGACGATTTATGAAACCTGAAATCTCAGTCTTATTTTGCTTTAGGAAACGAAAAAAATTGACCGATCTCCAATCTGAAATACAATCCTCCTTCCCATTTTATAGGTGAAAAAATATTACATATTAAAGTGCGAACTAACGATTAGTAGAACTGACTGGACCAACAACATGAATTATGGCCAATGATTTTTTTTAACGCTAAAAATTTTTTTAGTGAAAAAGCATATCATGAACAATTGTCGGTAGCCGAAATTACAAATAAATGTTTTGAACCAGGAAGCCAAATGGTTAAATGTGATCCAAGAAACGGCAAATATATGGCTTGTTGCTTATTGTTTCGTGGTGATGTCGTTCCAAAGGTTCTCTTAAGATCTATTTATTATACTTTTTTATTAACGATAATTTTAATAAGTGCATAAAATTCTATTCTAAGTTTTTTGCTTCCCAAATATTTTTATAAATTTAAAATTTAAGTCTACAACTAAATACTATTAAATTCAGGATGTCAATTCAGCGATTGCAGCAATAAAAACTAAGCGAACTATTCAATTTGTTGACTGGTATGAAAAAAAAAATTTAACTATAAAATCTATTTCTTTTTGTTTCACTTGAAAAAATCAGGTCGACAAGTGGTCAATAAGCATGCATATATATATATTAGCAACAATAAAAAATCTCTATAAGAAATGTTAAAAAAATCTTAAATTATTTTACAGGTGTCCAACTGGTTTCAAAGTGGGTATTAATTATCAGCCTCCAACAATCGTGCCTGGAGGTGATTTAGCAAAATTACAACGAGCTGTCTGCATGCTGTCCAATACAACTGCTATTGCAGAAGCCTGGTCTAGATTAGACCACAAATTCGATTTAATGTACGCAAAGAGAGCATTCGTGCACTGGTTTGTTTTTGCATAACATTTTCAATATTTTATTTTCCTTAAACCGCGAACGATTAACGATTAATTTAATTTTTATAAAAATTTTTTATTTTCAAATTTTTATAAAATTTCGAAATTTACATATTCTAGTATAATTGACTCGATTTTAAAAAAAGAAATTTGTTCGAATATGAAATACCGATAAATGAAAAACTAATACAATTTAAGGTATGTTGGAGAAGGAATGGAGGAAGGTGAATTTTCAGAAGCACGTGAAGATATGGCTGCACTGGAAAAAGACTATGAAGAAGTTGGAGCAGATTCATTTGATCCCACAGAGGAATATTAACTGATCCAACAACTTATTTATGAGCAAAACTTTGAACAATCATTCAAATATTTAACAAATCTAGAAAATCTTAGAAAATCTATCTCGACGAGCAAGATCTAACAATATAGACAACAAAAAAATTTACATTTGTTAACAGATGGGTAATAAATTTTAGAACCCCATTAAGTCTCGAGTGGCAGCAATTACATCACCATTATGTTCAATGAGTTTTTTCTCAGCAATTATTTTTGGCAATTCCAATTCCTCCATCTAAAATAACATTTAAGCACTTATTTAAATGGTAGAAGTAGAGATCAATGTGCAATAAAAAGTGAGGAAAACGTATTATAATATGGTCATCATAAGAGAAGCCATATATGTTTCGTTTATGTGCCTAAAAAATTTTGTCTCAGTTAAGCCTTTCATAGCAACAATCTAAAGAATCAAAAGCAAACAATAAAAGGAATATAGAAAAAAGAAAGTTCGAAATCAGGCTTAAAATTATTCCGTTGACTTCGACCCAACAAATTTTGCCAAAAAACACTTGACTGGAAGAACAGACCATTTGCCTGGAGTAGAACCACAATATCGACACTCCAAAATAACAACAATAACCTAATGAGCCATTCTATCCTCTAATCCTTCTATATGATAAATGGAATATAAAAAAAGGCATAAGAAAACTCACGATCATTTGCACATCTTCTTTCCTAATATTTACAGCTTTCTTGCTCGCTTGAGGTCCACTAATTAGGCTATCAAGCTTTTCATTGGATACTTCCTTTCCATTGTCGTTTTCATCGGTATATTCTGTCACCTTAAATCACAATGATAAAAAATATATCGAAAGATTTCGTGAAAACAAATTCAAATTTAAAAAAAAAAATTTTTAAATGTAGTTAGTAGCAAACGAAAAAACGAAAAATGACCAATAAGAGTAAAGTAAATCCAAAAAACGATTAATAAATAAAAATTAAATTTTTTTTACTTTGCTAAAATTAAATATGGTGGTTAGAAAAAAAATGGAATGAAAATTATTGAACATCGATTACTGAGTATTGAGTATTTTTTTGACAAAAGTCAAGCAACATGAGTCTCATGAAAGTAATAGAATTGCCATAACAATTGAAATCCAGTTTATATACTCATGTTTTAATCTATCTTCATCTATGTCTTTGGCGAATAATTGAAAAAAAAAAAAATTACCTCTCCATCTCTCATAATCAGAGGCCTTTAGACGATGAAAAAAGATGCCATATTAATAAAACGAAAAATGGAAAAGAGACCTTAACAAGATCAGCGGCAGTCCAATCCTTCTTTTTTGCTGGTGCATTATCGGCCGTTTCATTGGTATTTTTATCATCTTGATTCGTATCTCCCATTTCAATTTTTCACCATAAACACCCCTGAAAAAACTACGCCTTTAAATGAATAAATATAAATGTTATTGAAGTGACCTCTGACCTCCCGACAAGCATAGAATTAAAAATTATTACGAAAGAGAACATTGCTGAAAATAATCGCAAAAAGTTTTATGAAAACCAAAAGATGATTGCTCAATTTATTCGTTTCAATTCTTAACAGTTTATAGAACTGAACTACAAAAATTTTACATATTTTCCTTATCTGCATCGAAAATATTTGGATAAAATATAAACGATCCATTAAAAGACTGCCAAATGAACCTGTGGTACTTCAAAAGGTCCACTTCCTCAGTCACCTATCTTTACATAAAATCTTTACGATTTACTCTTTTTAAAAAATCTCGACCCATTTCCAGGCAACAACTTTTGGCAACCAGCCAATTTTAGAATTTTCAAATTTTTTGATGGATGCTTCGATTTTTTGTTCCAATGATAGGGAGCTGAAAGAAATCCTCGCTGTTATAAATAAATAAAATAGACATAATTATAATCAAAAAAAAACAATATCTTATTTTTTGTTACTATACACTTAAATTTCTTCCCTATCTTTCTTATAAGATTTAATATTTAGCTGTAAAAGTTTTATAAAAATATAACACGATTGTATGAGGTACTGTACGTTGATTCATTTTGTTCTTGGTTTGAATCTGAATGAATTAAAGATTAAGGGTCGACGTATTATTCTCACGGCGTTGGTTATACTGTTGGGGCTTGGATTGATCTTATATTCACTTATTTTTTTTATTTGTGAATCATAATGAGTGGCGGGTGCTGCCATTTCGGATTTGAGGCAGGAGAGTACCAAGTACCAATTTCGGCGGAAGTAAACAGGTCGTTCAGATTTACCTGGTACTAATGAGTCTAATTTGCATAATCACCAAATTCTTATCAAAATTTGTTTGGTTCAACAAATCAGTGGTGTGAATCTAACTAAAAAATGGGTGAACGCTCTTGCAAAAATAAAATTGATTGCTTAACTTGAGTTTTTACTTATCATATCAATGGCGATAATATCAGTTTTCAAATGATGATGATTAATAATAGTTTTTATTGCATCTTCTGATTTTTTTAACTTTATAAAATTGTTTATTGTTAGTATTACTGATACATAATTCTTTCAATAATATCATTTTTTATTGTTATCAATAATATTATTATTCTTTTTATTGTTTTTATCATTATTATCATTTATTTATTATTTTTATTGTTTCTACCTTCCTTAGTATTATGTTGTTATAGCAATTTGATAATTCTTATCATTTAATATTTCGATAAATCTAAAATTTATTCATTATTTCTTCAGTGATTGCAAATGAGATAATTGCAATTTATAATTTTTCAGATAATTTTTTTTTTGAAAGCTTTGTTTATGATTTTTTTTAGGAGAGAAGAATTTTGTTGAGCGTTTGGGCGTATAAATTAGTTTTAAGTGATGGCTGCTGGACGATTACCAGCGTGTATTATTGACAATGGAACAGGGTTTGTTTATATTTTCAGTTGTTCAGTTTTTCATTTACATTTTATTTAAATTTCTTTTTAGAATTTTATTGTTTTCTAGTAAGAATTTTAAAAAAATGAACCTCATTTTTTAAGGTTAGCCTTCGAAATAAAGAAATGTTTTAAGTAAAACATTGTTTTTCATAAATTATAGTTTTTGAATTTAATTGTGAACTGTTAAAATAAATGGGATTTTATTTTTTTCATTTATTGTTTACCTTTTTGGCAATTATTTTTAAGAGAAATGAGGTTACAGGTATACGAAACTTGGCTATGCCGGTAACAATGAACCTCTTTTTATTATACCATCTGGTTGGCTTTTTCTTCAGTTGTTTTTCAAACAAGCCGGTCTTCATAAATTAATATTTAATTTGGAAGATTTTGATAATCAATATTTTAGCAATAGCCATCAAAGAAAAAATTGGTTCGCAATCATCAGCATTACGCTGGAATACTCCTGGAAGCGGTCGAATTGATGATTTAGATTTTTTTATTGGTGATGAAGCGTTTTCGCCAAATGCAGCCAATTATTCTGTCAAGGTAATATTTTTTTCTAATTTCGCATGATTTTAAGAGTGGTTTGCATTATTTAATCTTATTGTATCTTAGTATCCAATACGACATGGTATAGTGGAAGATTGGGATTTGATGGAGCGATTTTGGGAGCAGTGTATTTTCAAATACCTTCGAGCTGAACCGGAGGATCACTATTTTCTTCTAGTATTTTTTCCTTTATTTCCGTCTTTTTCTTTTTTCTTCTTTCCAAAATGTCGGCTATAAGTTAAGGTTATTTTACATAATTTCTTATCCATTTTCACTACTGTCTGATATTGAAGGAGTATTTTATTGTAGACTGAACCGCCATTAAATACACCAGAGAATCGCGAGTTTACTGCTGAGATTATGTTTGAATCGTTCAATATTCCTGGTCTTTATATTGCGGTGCAAGCTGTTCTTGCATTAGCTGCTTCATGGAAAAAGCGTGATGTATCAAATCGACCACTTACTGGATTGGTATTTTCAAAATCTTACTTCATTAAATAATGTTTATAAATTGTTAGCTTGGCTAGTTCTTGTTTTTTTTTAATTTTTTAATTTTTAATTTTAATTTTTAATTTTGTTTTAATGTTTTAATTTCCACCACCATAATTTCTAAGGTTGTCGATAGCGGTGATGGAGTAACACATTGTATTCCTGTTGCTGAAGGCTATGTTATCGGTTCTTGTATCAAGCATATTCCTATCGCGGGACGAGATATCACCTATTTTATTCAACAAATCCTTCGTGAGCGTGAGCCAACAATTTCAGCTGATCAGAGTTATGAGGTGGCGAAAGCAATCAAAGTTTGTTTTTAATTGTTTGATTTTTTCCTTTTTTTTATCTTCAAAATTTCTACGCAAATAAGGAGTTTCAGGAGAAATATTGTTACGTCTGTCCGGATATTCTTCGAGAATTTACGAAATATGATGCAGATATTTCCAAGTGGGTGAAAACATATCAGGGAATCAATAATATTACTGAAAAACCTTTTACAGTTGATGTTGGTTACGAACGTTTCTTAGGACCAGAAATCTTTTTCCATCCCGAGGTACTTTTTATTATTTATCTAATCGATGGAAACTATTTCAGCTTAAGACTTAATGAGCGAAATATTATTTGTCAACTTTAGTTTGCCAATGCGGAGTTTACCGAATCAATATCGGAAACTGTCGATGCTGTAATCCAGCAATGTCCAATTGACGTGAGGCGCGGGTTGTATGAAAATATTGTCCTGTCGGGTGGCTCAACTATGTTTAAAGATTTTGGACGTCGTATGCAGCGAGATATAAAGCGAATTTCAGACGCTCGATTAGCATTAAGTGAAGAATTGTCGAAAGGCAACCTGAAGGTAGGAACTGAATTCATCAATCATTATAGGTGATTGTTTTGCAGTAAAAAGATAATTCTGGATTCTTAATCGAGGGAAATTCATTTTTTCCTCATTTTTTAGTATTTAATTCAATTTTTGTTTAATTTTCTGATTTGATTTAGCCAAAGCCAATAGATGTGCAAGTGATTTCACATAAAATGCAAAGATATGCAGTTTATTTTGGTGGGAGTTTGCTTGGATCAACGGTAATTTTATTAGTTACTTTTCCCATTTTTACGGTTATAAATTATTTAAATCATTGATCGAAGATGAATTCTTAGAACATTTATCAATTATCTTTTGTCAGCTGGTTTAAATGAATAAATAAATAATTGAAAGATATTTTTAAATATTAAGGTAAATTAAGATAAATTTTTATTCTATTATGATTCATTTTCTTTTCTTTTGATATAAAAATATTTTTAAGTATTTTATAAATATAAATATTTTGTATTTTTGCGTTTTTTCAGCCAGAATTTTATCAAGTGGCTCATACAAAAGCTGAATATATGGAGAAAGGAGCTAGTATTTGCCGCCATAATCCTGTTTTTGGTGCTCTCAGTTAATAAATGGATTGAAAATGGTAGCGTTTGAAATAAAAAATGTATTAATAGTTGAAATGAAGGAAAATGGCTGAAACTTAATTTTTGCCGGAAATCTGAAACCGTTATTCACCATAACAATATTTAAATATTCAAATTTAGGATTTGAATTCGATCTAAAAGATACATCTAAAGAATATATATCAGCGAATTTGTAAAAAAGACGAATCAAATTCATTTTATCAATTAATCATTTAATGTTGCTTACAAAGTTTTAATGTACCATGTTACATGTAGTTTGCTTACATCAGTCGTTTTCTTCTGAAAAGTAATAATGAAATACAGTATTATCCATATTTATACCTCATGGATAATCTAAAATATCCAAATTTTAGCACTAAAAGATAACAAACATTTAACATTTTAGCTGAATCTAGTTGGTTATAAATTATTTGTTGCAATTTTGAGACTTCTTTTAATATTTTAATATATTAAGCATCCTTGTGTCTTTATTGTTTTTTTGATGTGCTATTATTAGGCGTTCTATGCGATTTTTTTTTTTTTTGAATTTGCATTAGTTTGTATTTTGTTTATTTGAAGTTTTACTCGAAATTTTAATAAGTTTTTTTTCATGAGAAATTTAGTTTACGTAAATTATTTTTTGATTGCTAAAAAGTTTTGATTTGAGATTGAGAGAGATTCTTTTTTAAATTCTTAGAAATATTTTTTAAATTTTTTAATGAAAATTATTGAGAATGAATTTTCAACATTGTTAGAAGAATTTATTTGCAACAATTAATATTGCAAAATTTTTTTACTTTAAGAGTTAACTGTGATGAATGTTATTTGAAATTAACATACTATTTTGTTAATCTATTTTTGTTATATCGTTTAATATTAATAAATAATAATAAATTATATTATTGATTTACTTTTAATTACTATAAAAAATAGTAATCGGTAAAAAACTTTCCCAATCTTTACTGTAAGTATTTTGCTCATTTTTTTCTAATATTCCTATTAAGCTTTTTATTATAAGCAAAAACTAATAGATTATAAAAATTTCAATTATTTGAGTGGGGAGAAGTTTTTTTAAAAATATTTTATGATTTTTGCGAGAGATTTGATTACATTTTTATGGTTCTTTATAGGTAATTGAATGGATTTACAACCAGTTTACTATGAGAAGCAAGAATTTGTGGAAACTGCAACTGGTAATAAGGTTAATAAGAAATCTCGTTTATTTGGAAGTCAAAATATTGTTCTGAATGGAAAAGTAAGTAAAATTTATCTATTCAGTAATTTTTTATTTTGCCTTTCATTGATTTCTCGGATTTTTTTTTATTCTTTTTTTTTCAGTCAATTCTCATGAAAGATTGCATTTTGCGTGGCGATATGAATAGTATTCGTGCTGGTAAATATTGTGTTGTAGGCGAACGAACTGTTATACGACCATCGTATAAGCGTTTTAGTAAAGGACTCACATTTTTTCCAGTCCATATTGGTGATCACGTCTTCATTGAAAATGTGATATCAAGTTTTTTTCAGTTTTTTTTCAAGGCTATAGGTCAATTTTTATATTGATAGTCTGGCTAGTGCTGTTATAGATGAGTCAACTCATCCATACTGTTATCCAGAAGAGATTCTCTGGAAAAAGAGTAAATTTAAGCGCTTTACCCTTGCAATTAGTGAAGTCGGCCAAATGATGTTAGAAGAATTAGTGGAATCTTTTCAAGTGAAATAATATCGAAGAGTAGGTGTTTGTTCTTTTTCCTATTAATTTTTTTTGCATTTTATGTTGGGAAAAAAATTTCTTCAAATGAAGGAAAAGATACATAACAGATCGAATTTTTTTTTTGTTTCTCTTATCGTATAGAATTTAAGAAATATAATTTTAAGAATTACTTATTTCAGGATTGCATAATTATGGCTGCTCAAATAGGAGCATTTGTACATATTGGAAGTGGTGCTATTGTTGGGAGAAGTGTTATAATAAAAGATTGCGTACAGGTACTTCCCAATGCTTTTGTTCCACATGATGCTGTCATACCACCGTTTTCAATTGTTTCCGGCAATCCTGGTCAGTTTTTTTTAAGTTGATAAGGTTTGTAACCAGAATTTCTATGAATTATTTTGGGATTAACTGATGAAATTTGAATAATTTAAACTTTCGGTTCAACTTTTATTCAAAGTATTTGATGGTGGAAATTATATTATTAAGGTTACTTTAAGGTACTATTATCGGTGAATTACCTGAATCAACGCAGAACCTTATGACTCAAGCAACACGAAGTTTTTATGACAATTTTGTTTGTTTTTCGAAAAATCCTTCCATAGTTGCTTAATTGAATTTATATATTATCGTTATTATCCGGTTTTTCATATATTTAGATCATAAAGCTAGTTATTAATTATTTTTTTATTTTGTTTTGGGTTTATTGACAAATTTTCTGCTGAGGAAAGAGTGAAATAAGATATATGCATGCATTTTCTTCAGGCTTTCCCAAATGGTTTCCATTCATTCGCAGTTTTTGAAAATTATATTATTTTTATAAGTTAAAACGAAGTAAAAACTACAAAACCACAAAACAGATGGTTGTGCAAATAAATAAAAAGAGCAGTTTTCTATATTTAATGTCTAAAAATAGAAAATGACAAAACAAATTATTTCAATATGGAATGATGTTATGTCAACAAAAAAATTGGATAAGGAAAAGTGAAAAAAATTTGAAAAAAATTTTTATTTTTCGATGAAATGTTATAAAGTAGTAATGAATTACTTAACAAATATATACAATTTTTTGGAGGTAAATTAGGATGTCAGATTTTATTTTGGAGAACAATGGCCCAACGCATTTAAGGTTTATAATATTGTTTTTAATTTTAAGATATTTGAGGACCTTTTAACTTGGATTCTTATCAGTCGTATTGATAAATGCGAAGTATTATCATTAAAATCTCATTTCTTGAAATCCTATGTCTCGATCTATTAAACTATACCAAACTAGTCATTTGGCTTAAAAGGATTTTATCGATTTTTAATTATTTTATCGTTATATTAATTATTAAATAAGCTTATCATCGTATTTTATAATTCAGCAGTTATCAATCATTTTCTTGTATTGTTCTCTTGTATTGCAAAAAATTATTTTCAGTCGATCTTCATTAGGATCTTTTTACTAATCGATTTCCATGAACCTCCATATTTTAGAGATTTTTGGATCTTATCATTTCTTGTTAAATAGATATTTGGCATGGTGATTTAGAAATCTTAATCCCATAATGATCATTTTGTTCAAGTGACCGCTGCCATGTCCGAGCAGATTGTACCCATATTTATTAAAAATGATAACTGATATTAAAGATCTTATCAATCGTTTGATCTTATCAACGAATGTATATGGATGGTTCGAAATTACCACCAAGCAATAAGTGTTCATATGTCTAAGCGAAGCCATATTCATTGATTTTGAGTGATAAAAATATTGACTGAAAATTGTTCCACGAATTTTTGTCGAATATTTGCTAGTTTAATATTGAAATTTGATTCATACTTTTATGCACTCTTATTAGTATAGAAGAGGATAAGGGGATTTTTTCACCGGGTGAAGTGTGGGACTTTGGATCTGAAGTTGGCGGACTTGGGTTCACCAGGATCCAAGGGCAAAGAATGGTACCTATGCAAAAATGATTACGACGATAGGATTTGCTATCATTTAGTTTCTAAATTAAAATTTATATTTTATATAAATTTTCTCTATTCGTAAAAAGTTAAGAAATGTTGCAATTTGCACCATTATATCATTTCTACATTCGAACGACCTTTATTTACTTTATATATAACCTTTTATCAAATGTGATTATAACTTTCCATAATTCTTGTTTTTCGAATTATTATAATTTTGTAGACGATTTCAGTTGAAATTTAAATATAATGGTGGAAATAGTCTCAGCTGATCAGGAATATTTCTGAATCATAATGATAATGATAACAAAATTGATTTCGCAAAAGAGAGCAAAAAAATACGAAATATGATAATGATAATAGTTGCAATAGCAAGTATCAACCTATCGCATTTTGGTAATGATAAGGGTGATAAAGTATTAAGAAAGGAGTGAAATAAAATTGGAAAGAATAATTATTGAAATAAAAAATTTTGATGATAAAACAACTTATCATTTAAACAATAACATTTCGTCAACAAATATTTCAAGATCACTTCAAATTTCAAATTTATATTTGCAATTTTTTTCTAGAAAAAAATATGAAATAATAGCGCAATTTGAAATTGGATATTAGACGTATTAAAGTGTGCTATTCTTGTACTGGCCTCTTCATCAATTCTATCAACTGATAATTATTGTCAGTATTTTGTATAATATAATATTTAGCTTTGTTTTTGCTATTTTACTGTTTTTATTTTACTAATTATAATTTAAATATAAAAAAAAACTATATTAAATAGTTTATAGTATCAAATGTCAAATTTATTATCAATAAATATATTAAATATCAAATTTATTTTAAATATTTTAAATATCAAATTTATAATATCTCTATCTTTGTAATTTCAAATTTTTCTTTTAAAATATACGGGAAACGAAGAAATTTTTTTTTCCAAGTTGTAGTAAAAAAAGTACTCTTCGGAGGTTTATAGCAGTGGATAACTGGCATTTGTAGCAATACCGCACATATTCGAGTGATTTCGAGCTATCCATATATAACCATGTTTACCCCAATCGGCTCCCCAACTGAAAAGGCAACATTAAAAGGTGTCGCATAAATGCCTTTTATTGAAAAAATATTTAAATATTTTTTAAATATTAAATAATGAATAAATAGATGGATATAATAAATTTTATACCTATTTTTGACAATCCAGTAATCTCCATATTTAGGATCAGTATTGTAACCAACTACCAAAACACCGTGATTAAGATCGTCGTTACTACAATCCTCTGATTTGTACACACCTTATGATTATTATTTATTATTATTATTGATTGTTATTATTTATTATCATTATTACTGTTATTATTATTGTTATTATTAATTATATGTTATTATTAATATGTTATTATTATTGTTACTATTAATTATTATTGCATTAATTATTTTTATTATTAGTTATTTTTTATTTTTTATTATTATTATATTTTATTATTATTTTTATTATTATTATTATCAATTTTTATTATCATAATTATTGCTGTTATTTATTGATAGAAATTATTATTATTATTTATTATTATTATCATTATTATTATAATAAAATTTTGTCGGTACTTAATTAATTTTTTAATTAATTAATTTCAAAATATTTTTTAGAGTTTGGTTTTAGTCTAATCTAGTTAGAGAATTTAGAGAATTTCTTGTTTCTTCTAACCTTTTGCATAATACTCGAATTTCCAATCGCTAGCATCAATCGCTACTGATATAGGTCCAATGCTTGCCACTGCTTCTTTAAGTAATTCTTCGTTTCCACTTTCAATATCTATGAATCCACGATCTGTAGCGCCAATATTTTCCCTCTTAAACCTGCATTTTCCTTGTATTCCTTCATATGGGTAGGATTTTTCTGTGTCTATACCTTTGTTCTTTCGGACATAATCGAAGGCCTAAAAAATTTAATGCATTTATTGTTCGAGAAGTAAATGGTGGAAATTCACGAGTTTTTCTGTATTTATTTTATTGTGAGCTGAATTCTTCTTCCTTCTAACAGCTCTCACCATTACTGGTTAGGCTGGCTCAACAGCCACAAGGGTAAGATGCTTCCAAACGGTGCGGTCTGATGCCATCGTCGACAGTAATAGAAGCCATTCTTTTTTCCATCCTTTCATATATTGCTGGTCTACCTATACGTTCAAAATCTTTCCTGACCGTATCAGACCAGGTCTTGATTGGTCCACCTTCATCCATCACACGGTTTAGCAAATAACGAAATATGCGACAACTTTTGTGGTGGACGACGGAGAACGTGCCATAACCACCGAAAGCGGCGCTCTATGATAACATTATTTATGCAGTGGTATTTGAAGGTGGATGCGATCATGTGATATTTTATCCGCTCGACGGACCCGTAAAATATACCTTAGACAAAAGTGGTTAAAGATAGATAGTTTCTTAATATCCCCTCCACTCTCATTGGCCATGTCTCAGAACTATGTAGCAAGATCAATCACTGCTATATAGATGCGGATTTTTGTTTTAATGGTAACTTCACGACGGCTCCATAAAGGTTTCGTCAATCGAAAGAACGCATTTCTGGCTGCCTTGATCCGGGCTATATCGTCATTTGCCTGGCCATTTGGTATTAGAGTGGACCCAAGGTACTTAGAATCGGGCACTTCCTCGATCGGCAATGAATTTACAATGAATTTATGAATTTATGAGCTGAATTGGTAATGAGAGGAAAGAATTTTAAATATATTCACTTGATCCATATAACCGCCGCCACAACCTTCATTATCTGAGCAGTCAACTAAGTTTTGTTCGGAAAGGGAGACGAGTTTTCCAGTTTTTCGCTTGTGTTGACCTTCCAAGGCTCCAGTTGCACTGAATGCCCAACAACTTCCACATGCTCCCTGAATTTTTAGTAAATTGATTAAAGTGTAAAAGAAGTAAATTCAGATCAGAAAAAAAAAGTTATATTTGCCGTTCTAAATGGACCCCTGAGTTAAAAATATAATTGAAAGTTATGGTCCTTTTTCAGAGTTTTTTCTATTCTGTTACCTGATTCTTAACTGGTGTCACATATTTTCTCTTTCTCCAGTCTATTTTATCCGGAATAGGGACATTGAAAGATCGAGTAAATGTCTTTGAGCCTTTTTTTCTATTCGCCTTGCGATAGCCATTTAATTTTTTATATTCTTCTTCAGTCTAAAATTGAAAAGCTAAGAATTTATTTTAACGATGAATTTTTGGATTTTCGATTTGAATAACTTTATAAATATATTTATAGATATTTTTTCGACAATCTTTAGAATAAATAAATAGATTGGAACCAAATCTGAAAGATGATTGAGTGCCACTTTAAAGGTCTCTTCTCCCCTTTCGTAACGCGCATTGTGCTCATTGATTTTCGTTAGTTTCCTCATGAAAATCATTTTTCTTTTGGTTTCCTCTTTTTCATTTTTATAGGTTTTTTCTAAAAAAAAAAAAAGATTTTATATAAATTGGCATTTAATTTAATTATGCATGCGATTTGAGTTTTTTTTATCGAAAATCACTTTGAAATTACACTCTTTTTTAAAAAATTTCCCATAAGTTGGGGGAAAAATGCATGAAATCGCAAAAAGCAATGAAATAAAATTTATGAATTCGGGTAAATTTTATTTAGTAAATCTACTTACTGTATGTATTTTTGAATCGTTCCCATTCCAAATTTCTGAAAAAAATTCTCTAATAAAATGCATAATTATAATAAGATAAAGTTTTTTTTTCAAGAACACTTAGTATTAGTGGTTAGATACATTCAGCCATCTTGCTCTTGACTAGAAAAAATATACCAGGGAATTCTAGCAGGTCGATAGAGATAGAGGTGAGTCGCCAGCATCATCCTGGTGAATAAAATTAAATATTGAATCTAAAAATTCACTTGAGATATCGAACTGCTCAATAGGTCATTGGCCTTATTTTTGGGCACTAATATTTGGATTCAAGCAAGAATGACCTAGTCTTTCAAAAATTTCGGTGGTATTAGCCACTACCTGCTTTTTTTTTCTACAGTCAAATTATTCCACGGCAGGATTTATGCAGTCCAATCACAAATGGTGAGCATTGTTTGAAAAATAAAATTAAATAATAAAAAAAATTGATAAAATTTTAATTAATAAAGGAAGAAATAATACCCGAGAACGCCAACCAAACAAATGAGAAAAACCATGAATGAATTCATTTCGATTGCCGTTAAAATTTATCCGAGTTTTTACAGCCTTTTATGGGCATTTTTAGAGGTGTGGAATTATTTAAAATGAATCATAACTTCTACTGATTTGATAAAATATAATCACTTTATCAAAATATGAATGAAGAAAGATTTTTTGACATCCAAGTAAAGAAAAGTGGATGAAAAAAATGATTATTAAATAGCTGAAAAAATAATTTTGCTTTTCTCTTTTATAAAATATTGTTCTATAAATATTATATTAAATATTATAATATTATTATTAAAATATTAAATATACGAATAAAATATTCTTTGAAAGCAATTTGATTTTTAACAATTGAACCTCTTTTGCTAATAATGAATGGGAGAGCCACTAAGGCAAGAGCCGCATTGATATGGTCAGAAAAGATTTTGAACATGTCAGAGCAGCAATATAATATAATATATATATACTTAGCTGGTGAAAATATGAGGAGAATTCTCAGGTATGGCCTGGCAATGGCTTGAAAACGCCTTAATTTTATAGCCAATCGACCAATCTTAAGTAATAATGGTGCATATTTTTAGAAGAAGATTAAATGAGATAATTATATCAGCCAGAACGTATCGTATCGTTATTTTGCAAAGCTCTAAACTGCCCTCCCCTTAACACTGCATTGCATTATATGGTACATTAATATTAGTATTTCCTCACGCCTTCGTCTTAATACTTCACCAAATTTGTTACCAAATTTAAATTAGCGTTGTATAATTTCCTTTCTTCTATATTTTTTCGCTTCGAAATAATATTTAAAATTAATTTAAAAAATAATTTGTTATTTTATTTAAAAAAAAATAAAAATATCGACAATTCTGCAATTCTTTGCAGAAAAAATAAAAAATGAATATTTTAAATAAATTTTCGCCTAAGGCTAATAATAAATTCTATAAGTCGTTTCGAAATTTGAATAAAACCATAGATAATTACCTTATCGTCATCTGGTTGCTGGTCATTTATAATTTTTCTATGGGAGATTTGTTTTGTTTTAAGTTTTCGTTGTTATAATTTAAGAAAGAGCGACTATTATAATTATAATAAAACTGAATCTGCAGCGTTGCAAAAAAAAACGCAAAATATATGATGACAGTAGCATTAATAATTAACCTATCATAATTTCCATAATGATAGTGATAAAGTGATAAGAAAAAGATGCAATAAAATATGAGTGAATAAATGTCAAAATAAAAAATTTTGATGATATTAATCAACTACATCGTTTTTATAATCTTATTAATTGATAAAATGATAATATTTTCTCAATAAATATTTCCAAATAATCAATTTTAAATTTCAAATTTACCTAATAATACTAATTTTATAATTTTATAAGATAAATATTATCATTTATAATCATCATTATCATTATATATATTATCATTTAAATATTATCAAATATCATTTGAGCATGGAAAATTTATGGGGCAATTCTCTTTTATTTTTATTTTTTGAAGCACTCACTATTTTTGGTTTGTTTGTTACCGATAACTATTAGTATGAGATGCTTTCATTTTTGGAGAGCTACAAATAGAATCAGAGGCAAGTTCACCAGAAACCAGTTTAATATAATTTGGATATTCGATATGGATATGGATTATAATGCTCTCTTCTAGCATTCACCTCGTTATTATCAACTGCTGCTGAGATAAGATAAGTATTATTATTTAGAAGGGTAGAAAAATGACCATGAATTTTGCTTTGTTACTTTGTTAATTTGCTATTATGCTATTTTTTTTACCAATTACTATGCAAATATAAAGAAGCTATATTAATAGATTATAGTACCATAGTTTTGAATTTTAGATATATAAATTCTCTTTGTTTTCCTTTCTTATCAAAATATACTAAAATCGAAGAAATCGAAGATAAGCTTATCAAATTCTTTTATTCGCGTATAAATTTTTTTTACAATGGATTAAATGATGAATTTAAAAAATGGCCAGATATTTTTTTTGGAGATTTATAGCAATGGATAACTGGCATCTGTAGCAATACCGCACATATTAGAATGATTTCTAGCTATCCATATATAACCATTATTACCCCAATCGGTTCCCCAACTGAAAAGTATCTTTTTTAGAAATATTAGATATTAAAAAATATTAGAAATATTAAAAAAATATATAAATATATTAAATACAAAAAAAATTGAAATTATAATACAATATTATAATATTTATAATATAATATAAATATTATAATAAAATATAATATAATACAATATAATATAATATTATATTGTACCTATTTTTGACAATCCAGTAATCTCCTTCTTTCTGGTCAGTGTCGTAACCGACTAATAAAACACCATGATTAAGACTTTCATTTGTGCTACCGCAGTGCTTTGATTTGTATACACCTGTTGAATAATAAATGGTTATGGTGACATTATTTGGATTTTTTTTTAATTAAATTAATTTTTTAAAATCAATTTTTTTAAAATTTTTAATTTAAAAATTAAAATTTTCTTAAAATTAATTTTATAATTCCTAAGATTTTAATCTGAATTATTAATCTGATTGGATTAACCTTTTTCATACATTTGGAATTTATCACCACTGGCATCAATCGCTACTGATATAGGTCCAATAGTTGCCACCGCTTCTTTAAGTACTTCTTCGTTTCCACTTTCAATATCAATGAATCCACGATCTGTGGCGCCAACATTTTTCTTCTTAAATCTGCATTTTCCGTCTCTCCCTTCATATGGATACGATTCTTCCGTATCTATGCCTTTATTCTCTTGGACATATCCAAAGGCCTAAAAAAATTCCATGAATTTATTCTTTACTAATTATTCGAGCTGCAAATCATGATGTAAATCGATGATATTCATAAATATTTATTATATTACGAAACGATTTACTAATTATTAGTGAGAAGAAATTTTGAATATACTTAATTATATACTTACTAAATCCATATAACCGCCTTCACAACCATCATTATGCGAGCAATCGACTAAGTTTTGTTCGGAAAGGGAGACGAGTTTTCCAGTTTTTCGCTTGTGTTGACCTTCTAAGGCTCCAGTTGCACTGAATGCCCAACAACTTCCACAATCTCCCTGAATTTTTTTTCATTAGATCGATAGAAGGACGAAAGAATTAGTTTTTGGTCAAAAAAAAATTGCTAAAGAATTAGAGGCAACAGTGGTCAAATATTGTTTCACACTAACATTCAATTATTATCATTTTCTATTATCGTTATCATTTTCGTTATAAGGCGTTATCATTCAAATTTATGATTTTTAGATGATTTTTTTTCTATTTTGTTACCTGATCTTTAATTGGTGTCACATAATTATTTTCTCTCCAGTCTATTTTGTCGGGAATATTGACATTAAAAGGTCGCATAAATGTTGAGCCTTTTCTCCTTTCACCTTTGCGATAGCCATTTAATTTTTTATATTCTTCTTGAGTCTAAAATTGAAAAATTAAAAATTTATTTTCGGATTGGATGACTTTAAAAATATATTTATGGATATTTCTTCCATAATCTTCAAATAAATAGATTGGAACCAAATCTGAAAGGTGATTAAGTGCCATTGTAAAGGATTCTTCTCCTCTTTCATAACGCGCATTATGTTCATTAATTTTCTTTAGTTTCTTCATGAAAATCATCTTTCTTTTGATTTCATCTTTTTCATTTTCATATGTTTTTTCTGGAAATGATTTACAAATGATGATAGACAAATTATCATTAATTATCATTATATAAATTATCATTAAATGAACCAAGAAAGAAAATGCATGTTGGAACTTTTTTCACTTAATAAATTGCTCTTTCTAAAAATTTCCAAGAATGAGAGAAAAAACATGAAGCTATTTAAGTAAAAAAAGAAACTCGGACAAATTTACTTACGATGTGTATTTTTGAATCGTTCCCATTCTAGATTTCTGAAAAAAATTCTCTGATAAATTATGCTACATCATTCGACATTATTTTAAAAAATTTACATTCTTTTATATTCTTAAAAAATCTTATAAAAATATTTAATTTAATTTAAATCTAAGATTTTAAAAAAAAATTGTATAAAAAAAATTAAAAATGAAAAATGAAATTCATGGATTTTAATTGAGGAACACAATGGCTCAGTGGGTTGTCGTCCTTATTTCGATATATCGGTAGTGGGGTTCTACTCTACAAAGTAAGAGTAATCTTTCTAAAAAATCCAGACGATATTAGTGGTGCACTAATCTTTCTATCGCTGAATGATTCTCTGGCAGAAATTATCTGCTCTCCAATAATTCAATTTGTTAGAAATGTATTCATCAATATTTTATTGACAATTTTGACAAACAGGTTGGAACCAAAGCTAAAAATCTACAGCGCAAGTCAATCACAACTAGGACTTAGAAAAAGAAAATTTTGATTAAAATAGAAAAAAATACCCGAGAACACCAACCAAACAGATTGAAAAAACTATGGATAACTTCATTTCGACTGTCACCGTCATCCGAATGAGTTTCCAGAGCCTTTTATTGGCATACTTAGAGGTGTGCGATTGACTAGAAATGAATCATACTTTTACTGATTTGATAAAATATAATCGCTTTATCAAAAATTGTGACGTAAATAAAGAAATATAATTTGTTCTTTGTTTTGTAGAATTTTATCAAAGAAAGGTGGAATTTTATCAAAGAAAAATATATGGAGAACGAAAAGATTAATTTAATTTTGCTTTTTTTCACAATAAAATCTTCTAAGAAACTGATATTTGGTGATTTATCCACTTGGTGAACTTGTTTCATCGATTTTCTTAAGAGCCCTCACCATTACTGATTGGACTCGTTCCGCTTGTTATCGACTAGATAAATATACTAGAATTCCTTTGACTATAGAAGTTTAGATAAGCCATCAGCATCAACAGCTTTTTTTGATACGGTTATTCCGGAGAGTAGAACCAGCATCAGCTCCGAATTTGACAACAACCCACTGAGCCATTCAATTCACAGCAAATGTTACATTGATAAAATCAGAAGACGATCCAGCAATATTCAGGTTTGGAGAGTGGAGAAAAGAGTGCCTTCTAGTCTAATAATCTCAGGAATGGCATCGGAACGCCTCATCCTCATCTTTGCTGCCAATGTGTACTAATTATGTGAACAGTTAGAAGATGATGAAATTATATGAACTGAGAGCGTTTGTAGCGTTATTTGTGCAATTATTTTAAATTAAAATATGCAGAATTTTTTTCTGCAAAAATTGAGGCAATGTTGATTTTTTGTAAAAATTTGGTTTGGCCATAAAAGTGTTATGGCCAAATTTATGGCAGATCGATTTGGCTAAGCCTAATAATGGCTCATTTTTGATATTATGCTATAATTCTCAAAATATTACAAATATTACGACGCTTATGCGATCTAAAATTATTTTTCGTTCGATGGGCATTATTTTTAATATTGGTATAATGGTTGATTTTAAAGCCGATTAAATTCATGTCTTTATCAATAATCATTTAATGGAATCTTAAATATGAAAAGTTATTTGCGTCATTTCATTTTATTTCCATTAATTTTATCAATGATTTGATTCAATTAATAAATAATTATTAATAAAGGAAATTATTTTAAATAATTGATAAGCTATAGCTATAAGTCCAAAAAAAAAGAAATCATGCGTGCTATTCTCATTAATTTATTTAATTATGTAAATCAAATAAAATTAATAAGCAAATTTTTAATTGTGTTTTATCAAAAATTTATCAAAATTTTTATCATTATCTTCGGTTGCATATAAAAGGAAACTTAAACTTTGAATTAAACCTTGACTTGACTTATGGCATTATAAATTCATTTAATAATGCTGATCGACCAATTTGCCTAAGCCTTAACACAGTTGTATCAGTTTAGCAACCATTCTCTTTTCTCACACCTCCTTAACGTTCTCATTCACCTCTTCAAATTTTCAAGTATCCTCAAACAACGCCTTTAACTCCCACCATATTCCTCAAATTTTTGTCGAACTTCCTTAAAATCCCATCAAAACCTTTATCGCCCTAAAATTTACCTGCATCGATTTAAGCATAGCTGAAAACTTTTCGTTCTTTGCTTATAAAAAATTAACCATTTACACAAATTGATTCATAGATCTAAGATTGAAGATTCATAGATCATAGATGATTTAGAACTCAGCGAACATTTTGCCTTTTATTCTTTTGTATTTCTATACGATGAAAATAACCAAATTTAAACGATTGAGTAGATTTTAAGGTTTACTAAGTCTAAGGCTAAACTATAAATCTTAGATTTCTCTTAAATTATATAAATTAATTAAATTATATAAATTATATAAATTAAATAAAATAAATTATTGGATATCGTTCGTGTCTATCTTGAGAAGTGAGTTGTTGGGCAACGCTTATTTTCTGGAGTTCCAACAGGAATAATTAACAGGAAGAAACCTGCTTTTAAAAATCCGATTGAGCGTGAGCGACTCGCCTGCACTTCCATCGCTATACCCCCCTATTCCCTAGCAAAACTTATCAGGACTTATGTCAATTTATAAACCAGCGAGTTTAACGAGAAATGAATGGTTCATCAATTTGCGCATTTTTTTTCCAACTTTTATCATTGAGACGAGATTTCTTCAATTAATATGCATATTTTTTTTTCATTTATTTTCGTTAATATTATTAATATTAATAAGAAAGATTGAATAAAATTTGTAAATAAAATAAGAAAAAATTTTAGAGTATTTTATTAAAAAATAATTCTGCAAATAAAAAAAATAACAAAATGAAAAAAATTTATTGGGAATTTTGAGGATTAAATAAATATTTCAATGAAAATTGTCAATCATTTTTAGACTAAAAAATTATAAATAAATAAAAAATATAATGAGAATAAGTCGAAATTTTTTTTACAAAAACCAGTTTCTTAACTTTAAATTTTTTTTATAAAAATTTATAAATTATAATATAATAATATAAATTTATAAATAAATTAAATTTTATAAGAACTTATAAATTTTTTTGAAATTTTATAAAATAAATTAAAAAAAAAACAATTTATTCTTTTTTTTTTACTATAATATTTTTGTTGATCCAATAGTGTTTTAATTAATTTTTTTTTTTTGCATTTACTAAATATAAATCGAGAAATCCACTATTGCAGATTTTTTATAGGCCTTTTAAATATTTATTATTTATATTATTATTATTAATATTTATTATATATTTATTATTTATTCGGCAACAATATTCAATAATAATTGTTGGGGGAAAAAAGTTTCATCTTCTTAGACGATTTCTCAATTATAATACCTCCATAATTGCTTACGAAACGTTTATCGCTTATAATCTTTTTTATAATTTATAATTATTATAATTTATAAATTTTATTTTTTATAAGTTTTTCAAATTTCAGTAAAAAAATAAAGAAATTCTTTTCAACCAACAAGTAAATCGCAAGTGAATAATAATTACGTCCTACTTCTTAACAGACAATCAAACGAGAAATTCTGCGTTGTTCTTGGAATGTTTAATTCGAGAATATTTAATCATAAATTTATCAAACTAAAGTTGATAAATTTCCTTGATGAAGTTTATCACTAAAATTCGATTCCGAATGAAAACTTATCGTGTAAACACTATGTACAACAGAGAGTAAGCAAATTAAAATTGAAATTAATCCAATTGATATTCCAATAAACTTCCAAGCTGATTTAATTGTTATCGGAATCATTGTTGAATTTAGTACACAACCTGAAATTTCATAAAAATGCATAAATTTTTCTTTTTCATTGAACGATTGGTTATAAAACATTTTCTTTATGCATTTATGTAAATTTAAATAGATTGATAAGAATTATCGTTGCTGATAAATATGCGATTTTCCTTTTTTGTTTAATATCAATATTCTTCCCAATATTTTTATTAGATATATTCGAAAAAACAAGAATTCACGAAAATTTAGTAAAATTTGGGAATTTTTTAAAAAAATTTGACTGCCTTAAAATATTCTTGTAAAATAACACCCAACATTTTTAATTGGTACTGATCGTTTCTAGTTGGCTAAAACAAAAGACTGCTTGCGATAAACTTTAGATTTGAACTGTGCCAATAATTACCTTACCAATAGTTATAAGCTAACCAGAGTACGACAAAAGATTTTATTAAAAGTAGCCTTCATAATCCAGAAAATCGTGTAGTGGCAAACAAGATAGCAAAGGATTAAAATAGATAAAAGACGAGAATCTCCATATAAAGAAAATGAAAAATTAGACAATGAAGTAATAAGAAAAAAGCTTCTAATGCTTTTTATGGCCCAATGAACGAAATAAAAGGCCCTGTGGTTTGAGTGAAATAAAAAGGGGAATCATCCGGGAAAAAGGGAAGATCCGATCCCATAAATAGTCTTTTGCCTTCACCATTTGTTGGCACTATTATTAACACCAAATACAGTCAAGAATAAGTACAGAACGGCCTTCCGCATCACTCTGGATTTCCCAGTTACAGACTTGCCAATATTAGAAACAAAACGATGAACGCTTAGCCAAGTTTATATCTTCTGCCCAGCAATTTTTGTGCTGAAGAGAAAGAAAAAAAGCCCTAGCTATTTTTAAAAAAAGATTAGATAATTATCACTTATGATATTATTTAAAAGTTCACGTCATGCAGGAAGTATGAAATCTCGATTTTTTTACCATTCGATTATAGTTATTTCGAATTGTACTATATTATATTATTTTGTTATTTCCTCTTTATTTCATCTTTAAATTGTTAATTGTATTTTTTATTTTTTTTTATTTTTGTCATTAATTCTTATTATTTGTTATTTTAACTGTTGTTATTAATACAAGCACATGGAGTTTTGCGCACTGCTTGGCTGGTTTTCAATAAATAAATAAAAATAAATAAAAAAAGTATGGAATTCGTGGAATATTTCTCGATAATAAAACCTTTAAAATCATACTTATTATAATTTTTTTTTTGATCAAAATTCTAAACTAAACTAACCTAATAAAAAAATCGCAATTGTTATAAACCAAAACGAAAATATAATCCAACGTAAAATTTTGCTTTCACTGAGAAAATTCAATACTCTGAAATATTTTTATCGTAAAATTTTAGAAAGTTAGCCATTTATTTTATTTATTCGCTAAAAATATTTCGTATTAATCAAATTTATTAAGAAAGAGTCTGATCGAATTCTTTTTTTGGCTATGCTAGCTATACTGGTTATTTAGTTCCACTCAGTGCGGTAAAAATTACCAACTACCAGGTAGTTATTTGGTGTTAGAAACCAAAGTGGATCGCTAATACCACTCGTATCAGATAACAAAAGACTTTCTCCAAGATTTTTGCTGGAGAATTCGAATTTTTGTTTTTTCTCTGTTAAGATGATAAGCAACAATCAACCGTTTGACTATATCTTTATAGAGAATATTTCCTTAATATTTTCTTTTATTTTCTTTTTTTATTTTTCTAGAAAAATTACAAACTTATCAGCAGATGTGGGATCGATTCGAAGCATATTTAATGCAGAGAATAATTGTACTGCTGATATGAAAAATGTTGATATTGAAGAAACGAGTGATAAATAAGATATTGAGCTTGTAATCTCGCGTGGAAGCATATATACGTTATTATTTATGGATGGATAATGAATTGCAAATTTTTGATTAGCAATATAAACGAATAATATTGATGAAATAGACATAAATGCTAAGATTAAAAGCGAAAATTTCACCTGAAATTTAAAAAAGCGATCAAAAAACTACATTTTACTATAAGAGAATGGTACTTACCTGAAATCATGCAATGGTGATGGAGCTTTTGGCAAAAACAAAACCTTTGATAATTTATCAATAATTTTATTATAAAATAAAATATATTTTTGTTAATAGTGTCTGGTGCCTAACAGTTGAAACAAATCAGTACATCCACATGTTTTATTATTATTTCACTCGATAAAATTTCATTTCTTTTATTTTTCGGGTTATTTTCGTTATATTGCTCTTCAAAATCAAAAACTAATAGAATGAATATAAGATAAGCTGATAAGAGCTTTAACAATAAAATGGCGTTCTTAAAAAAAGACGAGAATTTTATGGAAGCATTCAGTTCTTTAAATTTCAAATTGGGAATAATTTGCCTAAGGTGCAAAAAAATTTCTAAAATAATGATTAATGATAATAATGATTTTAAAAATGGAATATACAAATTTTAAAATTATAATTTTAATAATAATTATAATTATAATTATGATTATAATTATGTAATAATTATAATTTTTACTATGAAAATTTTCACGACGAAAATTTTTACTTTTGGTTCTTAATGGCTTTTAGAAAAATTTTGCTAAAAATTTGGTATTCATTGGCATCCAAAGATTTGTGCGCACCGCTATCTTATAGTATTTTTTCATATTAATAAACTATAAATGCGAGAGGGAATAAAATATATCGTAAATAATCTAGAAAATCTTTCAAAGCGATCCAGTGGAAATATTCATGACCAATTCAAATTCTTTTTTACCTATGGAATTTATAACGATATAATGGAATTTATAGAGGATCAGCGAGTGATCTTTCTCATAACTGTCATATTTGTGATCCTTCAAAAAATTATCACTCAAACTTTTCAACAAGAAGATATCATAATTCGATATTATCCGCATACGCATGTCCAGAGATATCATGAAAATTGGAGCCTTACTCTTGAAGCAGTAATTTTGCCAATCAAATCATCTTTGTGAAAGTTAGTGTCCGCTTCATTTGGCATTTTGCGCTTCACTGAATGAATTCGTCGATTAAATGGTATAGCTGAATGCTGGAAATTTTGGATTATTTTATCAAAAATATTAAAATGAAAATAATAAATTTTATAAAAAATGCCGAAAATCTTAAAATCTTAATTTTTTAAAAATTCTAATACTTAAAAAATTACTGAATAAAATCGATAAAAATAATGGGAAATAAAAAAAAGAAAATAAGATTTGTAAAAATTAACTGAAACAATTTTGTATTTTTAATAATAATTTTAAAAAAATACAATACAATACTAAATTAAATATTTGGAACATTCTTTTCTAAGAGCGCTCATCATTTTTGGTGAAAGTCGCTCTGCTGACCACTTTGATCCGAAATGGAATCACTTGAAGAAGCACAACAGAAGCACAAATGGGTCACCAGTATCACCTGGATTTTTGAAAAACAGGTTTACTCTTGCCGAGAGTAGAACTCCAGCATCAATGAAAGCAGCAACTCATTGAACCATTATGCCAAACGATTAGAAAATTGAAAGGATCAACGAGAATTTCCATCATTATAATTTTATATAAATTTAATTTTATAAAAAAAAACAATAGAATTTTCATCTCGGAAAAAAAACAGCTCCTTCGAGTCTACGAAAAATCTATGAAACCTGGTTGAAATCCGAAAAGAAACTCGAATTTCGAGCTAATGGCGCTCGAAGTGGCGTTGAATTAATAACCGGCAAAGCGCTCATCAAGCCAAGAAGCCAAGAAAAAAAAATTGGTCTGAAAAAACAAATATATTGAAAATAAAAAATATAACAAAAAATAAATAAAATTTTATAAGCAATTTTTTAAAGAATTTTTAAAATAGTGTAAAAGATGAGTAGTTAATTGAAAATAAAAACCATTTAAACGATTTCATCAGTGCATAAAATTTCAAATAATTCGATAAATATTGAATTTACTAGCTTTATTTTCAACTAAAAAATAAGAGGTTTAATATTGAAAAATTGAAACTAAAAACGGACCTGAATCAGAACAAAGTACCACCGATAGGGAACACTTCAATAACTAATCGCTTTCTAAATTGCACGTACTAGGCCCTGTCGTATTTTTAACAGCCCATTTGATATTTCTCTCGCTCTTTGTTCACTTACTCATTATAGTATTCCATTTTGTCCTCAATATAAAACAGTGAAACCCCGCTGATATGTCAATTCTTTTTATATAAATAGAGACGAAGTACGAAAACGAAAAATCGTTGAAGAAAGTATTATAATATTTGCCAATGGGAACTTTAAATAAAGGCAATTTCGCTCTATGCATATATATATTTGAAGAATGCCGGTTAGGCTCATTCCGCTAGCCTATCTGATTAGGGAAATTTCGTCTTTTGGTCCGGGAAATACAAGCGAATAGCAATTAACACTCGAATTTTTGAAAGGCACAAAATTTCACCAACGCCTAAGGCAATAATAATAAATTCTACTAATCGTTTCTAAATAAATTTGAGCGAAACTACAGAAAAAGTAAAGTAAATTTAGGTCGACAAGACTATGGCTTCGGTTAGATCAGAAGACTTAAAAACGTATTGCTTTAAGTCGCCAAAGTCAAATCAGCTATCAGAACAAGAAAAAGAAAATTCTATTCGATTCAAATAGGTTTTTTATTATTGGAATGATAGCCTTTAAAATCCTAGATGTACCTCAAGGTAGCTGTAATGGCCATCTTTGATTTCTGGCAATTGTTGCTTAATGATAAGATGATAGAAGGGCCAAGAATGGCTGTGGATTCGAATCCGGCACCACTATGCTTCGTCAAGCGATAATTTCAGTAAAAACAAAAGAATGAGGAATGACTCAATGAGGTTGTTGCTTAATTTGAAGCGTCGATAATAAGATTTTACGCCCAACAATAGTAATAAACCCATCTTCCAAAAAATCCTAGACTGGTGCTGGTTCCCCTCCTCTACTTGTATGGCCCAGTAATATTTGTCCTGTCCGACAAGCCAGTGAAGCGAGCCTAACCAGCAATGGTGAGCGCTCTTATAAAAAATAAATAAAATAGCGCAATTATTGCATAAATTCGGACGGGCAATTCCATAATTTATCATATTCCTCAATGATAAACCTTCGTATATACAATTTGTTGAAGACGAAAACAGTTATAATATAATTTTTTAAATATATTTTAACAATAAAAAAAAATAAAATAAATAAAATATAAAATTAGGATAAAAATTTATGCAACAAAAAATTTTTCCTTTTCCTTTTATGCGTTCATATAAAATTCGGAAACAAAATGAGATTCTCTCTATTCTTCAATTTAAAAAAAAAAAAAAAAGAGAAGCGAATGAATATAGAATAAGAAAGACCTTTTGGTGACCAGATGTCGAGGTTTTTCTTTCTTCGCACCAAAATTTATAGCATTTTCGTTATTAAATTTTCGACTGAAAAAATCTCATAAATCAATGATATTTTCTATTATGAAACTATTATAATATTTTTATAGTTATTTATATTCGTCAAGGTCGCGCACCAAATTTATTTATTATTGCAAAACTATTAGCTTATAGGCATAATCGCATTCAATAGAATCATGCATTTATGATTTTAATCAGAAAATTTTATTAGGTTAATTCGAATAGTTATTGGCCTATTTTTTAGAGATATTTAACACAAATTTTAATTTCTTGTAAAACGATTGGATGATCGGTGAAAAAAGCGAGGAGAGCCAATCAAGACCTGCACTGATGCATATAGGAAAAACTTTAAGCTTAGATAGATGGACCAACGATAAATGGATTTGGACAATGCAAAAAGGAATGGTTTCTAATATTGTATCAGTGATAACAGCGAATCGAATAGCTTCGAAGCCTCTTACCCTTAACCAGTGCAGCCAAGCTAACTAATAATGCTGAGAGCGATTAAAAGAAGAAATTAGTTGTTGGCCTGTTGGCTACTATTAGCTTTCACCTACCTGTACTTTTATCGTCAAATAACTAACTCCTTGGCAAAAATTTTAAGTGCCGAGAGGCCTGATTAGAAATGGTGAAAGCTATCATTAAACTTAATTATTAACAATAATTATGGTTATAAACAAATTGTACCGATAAAAAAGGTGATATAACAACTGATAATTGATATTTGGAAAATTTTATTGCACTATTTGATATAGAAGATTATCACAAAATTAGGAAATATAATAAAGCAAATGCACCTAAAAATTATAAACTCATTAATTATATATATGTAAATATATCGATATTTTTTTTCAGAGCACCCCTATATATATTATATTACTGGTCAGACTGATCCGCTGGCACTGCACAAACATGCCAGGCAGTCCCTTGATGATAGAAGTACAAGTGAGTCGCCAGCACCGCCCGGATTTTTAGACAGATTTATTCCTGCGCGCGGATTGGGAACCACAACATGGGTGTTTCCAATTGAGTAATAATCCACTGAGCCATTCTATCCATAATTTATAATTTATAAATTAAATAAACTGAATCTTGGAAAGTTTAGAAAGTTGTTTTAAATTTTCAAAATAAATATTTTAATATACATTTAAAAGAATGATAATTTTAATTGAAAATATGTGAAAGAAAATGAAAAATTATATGAAAAATGGAAAGGAAAATGAATTTTAAAAAAATAATAAAAAAGATAAAATTGTGGGATTAATCGAGAAAAATATAATCAAAAAATGAGAAAAAATCAAATTAATGAAAGAATCGCTAAAATTAGAGAAGGACGAATTTGAAAAAAAAAACCTTGAAATTGTAAAAATAGAAAAAGAAAAAAAAATTACAATTTTGACAATTCAAATCAATATGCAACATTGAAAGGTTAGAGGTCAACGACTCAGAAAATGGGAAAAATTAATGATGTCGAGTAGATTGATGAAAACGTCGTTGTAAATAATAAATAATGTAGAAAATAGGGAAAAACAGTCTTGCAAAAGCACTAATCGCCTTTTACCACTACGTTATTTTATATAATATAGCAAAATATCAACTATTTGTTCGTAGCCCGTCTTAAGTATTTATTATCGTATATTTTATAGTTGTCACCACAATTTATCGTCAAATTAACCAAATGTTTGTAATTTTCCTCCGTCGTACATTTTTCCACACTGAAATGATCACCTCAGAACTATATTTATATTTATATGTGAAATGCAATCACTTGATGATTTAAAAAAAAAAAAAAATTCGAATAGAATCAAGTCGTTAGCTCAAACGCTAAGTTTTAAAATCATTGTTTAAAATAGAAATGTATGAAAAATTTTATCAATAGAAGTCATTGCTGATTAGAGTAGCACAAAAAAATTTATCAATAAAAGCCATCTCTGATTAGAATAGCTCAACTGGCTATTTGTATAAGGTTCTTTCAGCTCAAAGGCTAAGATTTAAGACCATTGTTTAGCAATAGAATGCATTTCACAAAAAATTTTATCAGCATAAGCCATTGCTGATTAAAGTAACATAAAAAATTTTATCAGTACAAGCCATTGCTGATTAGAATAGCTCAACTGGCTATTTGGATAAGGTTTTTTCAATTATGCCTGAAGATTTAAGAATAGGTCCACTGTTTTGTAAAATAATATACGATAACTAAACTTTTCAACGCCATTTTCACATTTGGCTTGCAAATAAATTTTAAAGCAATATTTGAATCGCCGACAGTTGTGCCACCATAAATTCTATTTCGCAAATTATTCTTAGTTTTATTAGCTAAACGATAAGTGAGGCGATGTAAGAAATAAAAAAAAAAATAATAATAAAATTCAAATAGAATACAATTTCATTTTCCCTCCCCCACCCCCACCAAAGAAAAAAAAAATTATATTTATTATAAAGGAAATGGCAGACGACCTAGCAGCATTTAGATTAATCCAGAAATACAACAAAAAAATTCAGTTGGATCTCTATGAAAGAGATTATTTTAGAATTATCATCATGTGCAGTATAGTTGACGATGTTCTCTCTGCTGAGAGGAATCGGCAAAAAATCGAGTAGATTGCTCAAAGTTAAACCTAAAATCATTTACACTAATAGTAAAATGATTGTCATCGTCAATTTGTCCTAAGGTTTATTATTCATAAATAAATTTTTCGACTATTTACAAATATATATAAACCTGTTAGTGATAATGAAACTTCTAAGGTTATAAAGGGGTTTTTGCTTCGCATCTCTATCACAAAGATGATTAAATGGCCTCAGCCTAATAATCAGTAATATTCAGTACAAAAATGGTATACTCTACTAGATACTCTTAGTCAATGAGAAGATCTCCTTTATTTTTTTATCAATTCGATAAGCCAGTAATTGGACCATAAAATTGGCTAATTAATTGGCTAAAATTTATTAAATTTAATGCAAAATAAAATGAAAAAATTTATGCAAGTCTCATTCCCATCATTTACAGTAACCTCAAACGATTAATCCAATCGTTTTATCTTACTAGATGAAGTGGAAAGTAAACCTGTTGCGAAAATAATCGAATGGTACTAATAATCCTCCTATCTATCGCCCAGTGTTTGCTGAGCAGAAATTACTAAAAACCAGTGGAAGATATAATGAAAAGAATTGCTTGCATGTGGGAAATTTTATTGGCAATAAATAAGGCAGATATGGGCTAAAATTAAATAAGTTAGCTCATTCGTTTTCCTCACTAATTGGTACCAACCAAGGTAAAAATAAAAATTACCCGCAAATAACGAACTCAACGAATTATATAAACAGATTCCATTTGAAAAATCATTAAATTCTTCCACCAAAATAATAGTCTTTAAACCTTTAAATTATTTCATTTATCATAATTTTTTTTCTAAGAAAAATTAAAAAATGAAAATGAGAATTAAAATTCAGCAAAATAAGTAATTAAACTTTTAGTAATTCTATTTAAAAATAATCAATTTTTATTTAAAGAAAATGAAAAAAAATGCCTAAATTTTTTTTTACATTTATTTTTGTAAATTTTTTTTGCGAAAAAAAATTCCAAACAAATACAAATAAAAATACAAAATACAAATAAAAGAACTAATAAAAAAAATTTTAAAGAGAAATAATATTGACAATTTTAATATATATGCACAGTAATAAAATAGTTAAATCAAACTTCGTTTTTAAAATTTTATTTTAAATATTTTAGCGATTTCACCGACCATACCATCATTATAATCTATACAAAGTTTGTAAAAATTTGCTATTTTTTTAGCGCCTATAAAAATTGAATAATGAAAATAATGAAAATAAAAATAAAAAAAACATTGAATATATATATATATATATATATAAGAAAATTATAAGATAAATTTAAGCCATAAATAATAAGACAGATAGTGATAAGATAATCAGAGGTGATAAACCGCCCACTACTATTTTTATTATATATCGGCCATAGGTTGTAAATTTTCATATAAATGCATTTATGTTTAAAAAATTGATAATTGAAACTATAAATAAATTTAAGATAAAATAAAAATGTTTTTATAGATAAAATTATTTTTTAATAAGAATGTATGCAAATTTAATTTTTACAGCATCTTTTTACGATATATATTCCGGATTTTTCATCAAAAGGGATTTGATTCATAGTAAAAAAAATGAGCCCATTGTAGAGAGAGAGGAATCGAAAGTCTGTCGATGGTTCTGATTCTACCACTCCACCTTATATTGAAGTGCACTAAGTAGGCATTGTGGAAATTTGGTTCTTTAAGCCCTTTTAAAGGGGATTAGTACTCCTCTTTAATGTTCGCTACTAAATGGTTCTTATGGTTCCTCAATTTTTTTTACGTTTAAAATTTGATTTTTCTGTAATTTTTTTTCTCGAAAAAACGTTTTTGTTTTTTTTTACCGCTATTTCCTTATCACTGTATCATTAGAATGGTAATGTGTTTGCTACTATTGTCTGAAGAATCAACATTTTTCGAACAAGTGAAATAATAGTGGTATTTAATTTAATGAAATTTATGGATGTACCACAGTTTTTAATAGCTTAGAAAATATTATTAATGGGACTGCGCATACGAATACCCCTTTGCTGGCGATAAGCTTCTATGCTTTTATGCTTCTTTACGTATTTTTTATTATAAAGTTATTTATTTTCATATATTTTTATATATATTTTATTGTATAAATATTTTATTCTCATAACAAATTTTTTATTTTATTCTTTGTAAAAGGATTAAATATATTAAATAGTTAATTTCCTATTATTGAAATAAAAGTTGCCTAATTCCCTTAATAGAAAGGAATAAAACTACAAAATTTTTAAGAGTGATAAGATTACTCACACCAAGGAACTATTAAAATCATCAGATTATCAGTTGAATAATCAGTTGAATCAATTAAAGCTGAAATAATGCCCACAGTGTCACAGTTAGAAAAGAAGAATCAGCTAAATTACTCATTCTTCTATAAATATTTTACCAAATTTGATAAGTTGATGGATTTAGCATTGGTCAAATTTGCCATAATTGGAACTTTACATTGATCTAATAACTGAAAATTGCTAACAGAAAAGTAATTGACTGAATTGCAAAACATCTCCTTCAATAACGGGTTCAACTACTGCACCTTGGCCCATCTAAGCCGTTACAATAAATTTTACTACAATAAATTTTTATCTCAATAACCCTAATTCCAATAATTCCATTTCCAATTCCTCGATGGACATTCGTTATGAAAACTGTTTATAGCGAACTGCGCGATATTCTTTTCAGCTATGCATAGATCCATTTCACTTCTGCATGCGTCTCACTGCTTGATTAAAATGCTATTTTTGATAATATTAGTAATATAATGTAAATTAACCTCAGCTTTTTCTGATGGGTTTGATTCTTTAGCATGGAATCCTTGTAAATTTACAAGTGCCTCGGGAACATAATATAATATATGTAATTCAACTTCAGCCAGAGAAAATTATCTTTGTAATTTCCATGTATTTGGAAGCTCAGCTATATGTCAGATTTATTTTCGTTAAAGATCTCGATATAATGGAAAAATCGAGACAGCGTTATTAAATAATAACAGTAAATTGAAGATTGGACATTCAGGGATTTATACCCCGCTTTACTAATTCTACTGGTATTTAGTGTATTGCCTAATAGTTGTTTCCTGTTTTGTTTTAGTTTTCTCTTTTTCTCCAATTTTAATTTAAAATGACTTCAGTAAAACAAAAAAAAACTATTTAAAAAAATTTCCTAATGATTTATTGCTAAATTTAAAATATAAATAAAAATATAAACAATTATTAATGACTAAATAACCAAAAAAAATTTGAAAAAATCAGTGAATTTAACAAATTAACATATATAAACAAACTACAAAACTGTTAAGCGGAAAAAAGTAAAAAAACAAATAAGCAAAGCTAGAAAAAAAACCAAATGGAATGTAATGTATAAGAGAAAAGAAATTATTAAATGTGATAAATAAAGAAAAACTATTGAGACACTGCCAATTATCTACATTTAATATCCAAGCATTTCTCCATTTAAGGCTTCTATAATAACCTCAGCTTTTTCTGATGGGTTTGATTCTTTAGCCATATCAATTATGCTTAATAATTTCTTGATTCCGACTGAATATCTAAAAATTATACTAATTATTGCATTAATGGCACCAAAAGATTATAATTGATGCTACAATCTTTTATCAACCATCGAAGCCTCACATTAATCACAAAAGATTTTTGTCTAAAATATTTGCAAGCCTTTTCTTGAAAAACAATAAAGAAACATACGTAATATCACTAGAAGAAAGCCTCTTTCGAACTTTATCACAATCCGCTGGAGGAAGAGCATTCGTATCCTCAATGACAGACATAATGTGATCTACGGTACTTAAGACAGGTACATCAATAACCGCATTAAAAGCTGTTATTAAACCAAACTCGTGCAAAAGAGATCGATTGCTCGAAGTAGCAATGACAAGCAAACGACGATTCTAAACATAAAGGAAGAGAAATGAAAATGAAAAAAAGTAATGAAAAATAATATAATGAAAAATAAAAGAAAAATAAAATGAACAAGGGAAGAAGCTTCTTCTTTAAAAAAAATGTAGAGGAATCAAAATTTCAAATAAATTTTAAATATTTTTTTAAATATTTTTATATTTATATAAATATTTTATTATAAATATTTTAATTTTAAATATTTTTATAAATATTTTAAATTTTAAATAAATATTAAATATTAAATATAAATAAAAATTATCAAATGATCCACGAAAATTATTTGATAGATAGGAACTTACAGGAGGTGGCTGTTTTTTAAAGAGGACAAATAGGGCTTGAAGAACCAAATTCGAATAACGAGGTCCGAGAGGGGAATAATCTAAAAACAACAGAAAATTTATTAATGAAAAAAAATGACAACACTCAGCAAAACCATATTTAACAAAAATGGTAATTTCGATTGAACATAATGAAAAAAAACGTAAAAAAACAAAGTTTCACCCAAAAGGCGCTCAATATCATCGACGATGAGACAACTAAGCGGCGAACGATATGCATCATCGAACATTTTACGCAAATTCATACATTTCGCCATTTCGTTGAACCCTACCATATCTTCAGCGCTTACTACTTTAATAAATGGAAAATCCGACTGTTTGGCAATAGTTGCAGCTAAACAAGATTTTCCGGTATTCGGAAGACCTATAAATTAGTTCTATTTTGAAAAATATTTGAAAACTTTAAATGCAACATAGAGCTGAAAAAAATAGAAATAACGACGAGAACTATCCTACCTTCCAACAGCAGGGAAACAAATCCTTTAGTATCGGGACTTCGCACTTGCTTCACCAATAAAGCGCCACGTTCTAATATATGAGAAATTTCAGAACACCAAATTATTAATCCATCAATGAAAAATCTCGCTAACTCTTCGTCGGAACGACCAAATGCCTATATCAAATTTATATATTTAATAAATCATTTGTTTTGAATAAAAATATTCAAAATTTTAAAAAACATTATATTTAGCAACCTGAATTTTCGAAATAATCTCAAAATAATCTCAAATCCCAAATTCAGAGAAAATGAAATAAGCAAGAAAGAAATAATTGGAAATAACCGGTTTGATATCATTCTCGAGAGCATAATTGAAATCATCTATATTAACCATAAGTTTTTCAACAGCATCTGGATCTAACTGAACTTTACCACCTGCCTAAAATAGAATAAACTCGTCACAAAAATTTAACAATATAAATTTTTGTAAAACACTTACCTTCACTAATCTATTCATTGCACTAGATTGTGCAGCTCTTATAAGACCTTCAATTTCTGCTCCAGAAAAATTTTTCGTTCGCTTAGATAGATCAATGAGATCTACATTGGGATCTAATTTGCCATATTCCCTAAAAATAGAAACAAAAGCTATTACTTACAAGCAAAAGCAGAAATAAAAATTTCGACAAATGCCTATGAAAGGTACCATTAAAACTGAATATTTTGATGTTCTAACTAAAAATAAGGATTTTAATTAGGAAATTTTAATTGTTTCCTTACCTCATCCTCGCTGTATGTATTTTTAGAATCTCTAAACGTCCGAATTCATCTGGCAGTGAAATTTCCATTTGCATTTCCATTCGACCTGGTCTCAATAATGCCTCATCAATCATATCTCTTCTATTTGTCATCCCAATAACCAGAATATTATTTAGTTGTTCAACACCATCCATTTTGGCTAATAATTGGTTTACAACTGTGTCATGTACTGCTGATGTGGCAGCCTAAATTTTTCTAAATTATATTGGTCCAAATTTATTTCACCATTTCTCTTATTCATTACGAACCACTGATCCACGCTGTTTGCAAATCGCATCAATTTCATCAAAAATAATTATGTGAAGACCAGAATTTGCACCACATCGTTTCCATTCCTCTTCTGCGTCTGCAAACAATTTTCGAATATTCGCCTCTGATTCACCAACATACCTTAACTTTGGAATCTTATTATTGAAAAAAGGGAAATTCTATCAAATAACTTAAAATAAGTGGACTCACTTGTCTAAAATTTGAGGTCCATTGACAATCTTTGGTTCTCTGGCATTCAACATTTTTCCAATTTGTCGAGCCATTAAAGTTTTGCCGGTTCCAGGAGGTCCGTATAATAAGATGCCTCGAACGTGTTTCATTGCTTAAATTATTTTATATTATCAGATATTGATGAAAAAGTCTGAATTTTTCGTTTTCCAATAATACCTAATTGCTCGATAAACTCCGGAGGGAAAACACGTGAAGCAAAGGCACGCCTAAATATATCCGAAAATTCTTTATCAAGACCACCAATACCCATTTTTTGGAAATCCCAATCTGGATTTATGATTGATCGGTACGCAGATTGGCTGAAAAATCTAGTGTAACTCTTTTCATTTCTCTTTTTTAATGACTAGCATCTAAGATTTATCATATTATCAAAAGATATCAAACAACTTCAATTGTCGAAAAAGAAGAAAAGAGTATTACCCTTTACTTTTGCCAATTAAATTCAACATCGATCCTTCAGCTTTATCGAAAATGATAGCTGAATTTGGCAAAAGTTGTCCAGAAACTATCTTTAAAATGGATAACATTATTTTTGGTTAAAAATTTTTGATTAATTTCAAAAAAATTTGCTTACTTCGATCATCTTTTTTTTATCATTATTCTGTGGATTAGAAGCTGCAGATAAATCGATACCTGAAATCATTTTGTGAAAAATAATGATCACCAGAACCATAATGAAATATAGAATAAAAAAATTTATTTTTGAAAAAAGTCAAATTCCTATTGGACTAATTTTATAAATAATAAATTTTTGATAAGTGATAACAGAATTCATCACAACTTAAAACGACTGGAATATGAAGTTGATGAAATACCAGTGATTGATACGACTGTCAATGATAACGTGTAAGTTTTCTGCTTATCATCATCAAATTTGAAAACCAGTAATTCACCACGAGTGAAAGCTTTTCCAGTAAATTGCATAGAAAATTCACGTGCCATAAAATCCGAATTTAATGGTTCTTGAGTTTGCCTGAAATTCAATTAGCCTAAACGTAATATAAAAGCACAAATTTAGTACCATAGAAAATAATATCAACTAACCAACCCTTTCTTTGATTGAAAATCAGCAGCAAATACGATTGAACTAATATATTCATCGTTCCGAAAGAGAAACGGTTGAACGTCAACCGCCTGATCTAATGATAAAGCGGCCCATTTGCGTTGTTGCATCGCAAATGCAATTCCATCCATTTCCACTGATGGATGATTTTTTATGGTAAAAATAAACTGACGAGCTGGGCCTGTTTTCACCAATACATGCCTTAATTATGAAGAAATTATTTTAGATTTTATATCGTAATTTGAAATTCAATGAAATAAGAATTAAAAATCACAGGTGCAAATTATAAGATTTTTAAAATGCCTTAATTCCTGTGAAGGACTCCTTCGGATGGCCTTTGTATTCGAGGTAAATGGACCCTACAGAAACATTTACGAAACACTCATCCTTATTGTCGTTAATTTCGTTAATTTTTTAAAGAAAACTTACTTAATGCCTTTCGAATCGAAGAGTTTTGCGTTAACTATAGCACAATTCGATACAGCCAATTCATCAGTTGGACATTTTCGTACTTTGAGCTGCATTCTTTCAGACTTTTTTTGCTAAAATTTCGCAATTTTTATCAGATTATCAATTTTTATCAATCTAAAAAGTTGAAAGAATGAACGTACAACGAACAATTGCAAAATCAATTAAGAAAAATTTGAGAAATTTATATAAAATTTCACTGGTAATTAACAACTATTTACGTAAAAAACACTGTAATATTATAAGAAATAAAAATAAATAGCAAATAGAATATTTTTATTTTTTGCCAATAAATTTTATCAGTGACGATTTCGCGAATAATCGTTTATGCTTATTTTTCCTTTTTATTAGCTTCACTGATAATTATGGAGAGAAATCGCTGATAATTATGGACGAAAACACAGACCCTATGCACCATCTGAACCTCACTTTTCGTTTCATCACAACCGAAGTAGCGTGCCAGTCAACCATTTTACCAATAATAGACAATCCTTCTAATCAACTTTAAGCCAAGAAAAATAATAAGACAAGCAATAACTCTCTCTCTTTCTCTCTCACTCTCTAATAAAATAAACCAATTCGTTTTATTGCTTTTTTTTTTTTTTAAATTATAATAATGTAATAATTAATCAATAAAAAAATTGGAATTAGAGTGAAAATTTTTAGTGAAAATAAAACTTATTTTTTTTATAAAATAAAATATTTTAAATAAAAATAATGGAAAGAATTTTCTTAATGAAAAATAATGAAAAAAAAAAAGAAAATTGTTGAGAATCGATAAAATAAATGAGGAGATTTATGGCTAAAATCATATTGATTTTGGCCATAATAAAATAGTAAAATAAGATAGTAAATAAGGAAAAATAAAGAAGAAGAATTTTCAAATTTTATTTATTAAATAATTCAGTAGTTGAGAATTATCAATAGTTCGTCTCTGCTCAAATACGAATAAACTTATAATTAAAACCAAAAGTATACAGACATAGTTGATAGCCAAAAAGCTAATTTTATCTGCACCTTTGCACTACCATCAATTAATTTTCAGCTAAAAAAAAAGCATTATATCATTCGATTTTAATCAGTGGAAGTAACCAAATCATAATCAGTGAATGCATTTAGAATTATCAATTATATATTATCAATAACTGTCATCAGAAATCAGCATTAGTGATTAATCAAGTAATAGTAGCAATACTAGTAACACGACAGGAACGTCAGGAAGAATGAATATAAGGAGTTAATAATTGAAATGTGCTGAAAGAGGAACTAGAGATGTGGAAAATAAAGGCCAAAATAATTCCAGTGATAATTGTAGCACTAGGAATTGCGAATAGAAAAAAGCGCCTTTAGCAGAAATAACAGAGATCTCTATCCAGCAGAGCGCACTATTAGGAAGAGCTAAGATATTGCGCAGAAGCCTCAATCTTCCAGGTCTCTGGTAGAGGACTCGAGGATGGGAACGGACGAGGATGAGAGTGATCATGGATGTCCACAAGAAGGATGAGAAAAAAAAAGAAAGTCATTTTAGCATATTGTTTGACAATTTTCGGTTATCAATTATATAAGACAATTAGTTAATTGTCAGTTCGCCAGAAAATTATATGAAATAAAAAAGTATAAAAAAATTGATTTATGCTGGAAATTAAGTCGGAGGTCAACTCGACTGACCCCAATTACTCTCAACTATTTGATTTTTTTCTTTTTTTTCCCTTTCCTTTTCTAAAAGCGCTCATAATTGATTTCTTGGCTGGGCTCATCCTAGTGGCCTACTAGTGGTCTGACAAATCCTGCCAAATGCCAAATTATCACCTTTTGGATAGAAATGGACGCGAGCAGGTTAAGTAGATCAAAACGCAAACTGAAAAAAATTATGGTACTATTAATTAGAATTGGCAAAAGGCCAATTATTCTAATAATTGGCAATGAGCCAGTTATTTCAACATTTTACAAATCAAGCTATGGATCATGTTTGTTCGGATATGGTCCTAGGGTCCTAAGCTTAAGCTTGGTTAGGCCGAACTGTGAATTTTGATAATATCAGTGTTATCAAAATTTATCATCCCATCCAATCAATAGATTATGGTTACAGCTTTAATTATTTTGACTTGATTTGGTGATCTTATAACCTCATTGCTAAAATTGTATTGATAATGATTAGTGATAAATGATAAGATTTTTGAGAGTTTTGCTGTGATAAATTTGATACAATTATTAAAATTAATTAATGAATTGCAAAATAATGAACAGTAAGCTGATTTAATTTTATCTGTTTTTGTTTGTTTTTTTTTGTTTTTATCATTTTTTTTGTCGTCTTTATAATCGCCTTTATTGTTTAAAATATTTTATACGGTCCTTTCCTGAAGTACTTGTCGGTTATATGATCTGTAGTGGCGTTAAAGCATATAGTTACTCATCGCTTATATGAACCACAGTGACTACCTACCTGTTGGATCAGATCCACAATGGTGGTGAGCATATATTTATATGCTTTTCTTTTTTCTTTCGTTTTCTCCTATTTGTTTGTGCATGTTTGTTCTTTCGCTAATGATAATTGTTTCTAAGCTATCATTTTGTTATCCTTGGTCTCTATACTGGTTTCTTACAAGTAATCGATAAAGGATTTTTATCATATCACCATTTCCTCATTGTTCCTTCAGCTATGATTTAATTCATTTCTTCTGCCTTATCATCTTTCTACTATATTTATATTTTTATTTCCATTTATTTGTTGTCGCTTGTTCTGTTGTACTTTTTTCATCCTTCGTGTCAACGAATATCACCATGGATTAACGAATCGATTTAGTGTCTCGTTTATTTTCCCGATTTTCACTGGATTTGCTAGTTTTTTACGTAATTTTCTATTCATGTCGAAGAATCGCCAAATTGTATTTAATCGAAACTTCTAATAGGTATAATTTCAGAAACATAAAATGGATTCAGACTTACTTCAAGAAGTTCGATTATACGAGAATAGTGTTGAACGTGAACGAGTCGATAATATGAGCGAGCTTTATGCTGTATTAATTGCGTTGGAATGCTTAGAAAAAGTTTTTAGTCGTGATTGTATTTCACCGAGAGAATACACCGCCGAATGTTCAAAATTGCTCGTACAATATAAGGTAATTTTTGCAACATAATTATTAAATATTAAATAAAAAATAGATAATAAAATATTTAAAATATTTAGTACAATAAAATATTTTTACAATAATTTTCCTTTGAATCGGAATCTTTCATTCATATTGAAATTCATCTTTTATTAAACTTAACTTTTTATAATTTCTGGTTTATCCTAAATCTTAATTTTGCTATCTTTGACAGGAGTAAACCTATCATTGAAAATAATCAGACTGTTCCCAACTGTACCTCTATCATCATTGTCTATAATCATTCATTCCTTAGCAAAAATTTCTTAATATATTGTTAATAAATAGAGCTAAGGCGCTATTATAACCAGGAATGATAAGCGCAGGCAATGAAATATTGCTTTACTTTTTCTTCTTTAAAAGAATTTTTCAACAAACTATGGTACTAAGTAAACTTACGGTACCAAGAGATCAAAAAAAGATCCAATGGAATTATTTTACCAATATATTTTTTATTTTTAGGTAGCAATGCGATTAGTAAAATGCGATCAGATCGAGGAATTTATTCGAAAATATCGAATTGATTGTCCAGCAGCACTTGAACGAATCAAAGAAGATCGACCAATAACCGTAAAAGATGATAAAGGCAATACATTAAAATGTATTGCGGAAATTGTAGAAATGTTTATAACATTCCTTGATCAGTTGAAATTAAATGTGAGAGCTGTTGATGAACTTTTTCCAACGCTTAATGAATTGAATGTATCAATTTGTTCAATGAGTTCACTTCCAGATAATTTTGATTCAAAGATGAAAGTTAAAATATGGTAAATTTTTTTATTTTTTTATTTTTTTTATTTTCTTTTATTTTAATTTTAAGGTTTTTGGAAAAAAATATTAAAATTTTCGCAAAAAAAGAGAATTTAACTTATCATGCCAAGTAATGTGGTACTTTACTTTTTTATGCTTCTTAGCTGCCGCAAGTATCACGTTTCAGATTCTTAATCTAATTCTGTTCTTTCTTCATCATTAATATAGACTTAATTAATCCTTTTAAATTATGTTTGAATTTTATTATAATTTAATATTATTATTAGGCATGATCGGCTTAAAGGTATGAGTGCAAGCGAAGAAATTAGCGATGAAGATGCTCGGCAAATGATATTTGATCTTGAAACTGCTTATAATTCTTTTACCAGATTCCTGCATAATTCTTAGACAAAAATTTTTGTCTTATATTATCATCATTCCATAAAAATTCTCTTTATTTTTATCATTCTATGCTATGCTATTAGACTGTTGTATTTACGTTATTATATATGTTTAATAGTTTTGAAGATCATTTAGTGAGTAGAAAACAATTTCGATAGGCTTAGCATTTGCTTGAATGCTAAGCTAGGCTAAGCTGAGGCCAAACTCTTTATGTATATATATATATAATATTTGCAGAATAATTGAAATGTTGAGAAAAAAAGAATTAGTTGGAAAATGAAAAGGGCAGTTAAACAAATTAAATATGATAATTTTGATATATGGATATAAATTTCTCTTAGATATAATATTTCTCCTTTTCAGTATTACTCAGTTTTACTGCTAATGTATGTTAGTACATCGATTCACTGCAAATCTTTCGCTATCTATCGATAATCAATTTCTTTTCATAAGCATATCATTAAAAAAATATCAACGGCAGGTTATAGTTATGGTAATTAATAATTTTTCTGTTCATAATTCTATAAGCGGAACGAAATAGATACAAATATTTCTATTTTATGATTTTCTATTTTCTATTTTCTGTTTTTGAATTTTTATGATCTTATTTTTATTCATCATGTAAGCAATTAAATACTATTAAATACTATAATTAGAACAACAGATAATCATGGAGTAATTGGACGAAATGCTGTAGCAGCCGAAGTTCGTTCAATTTCCTTATCAGAGATAAATAAATATTACTGAAAGAAAATCCTGGGTAGTAGGGATCCGCCTCCGACTCCATGACTCCAAAAAGTCTAGCATAGTGCTCAGTGAGATGTATCAAGCTAGGAATGGTGAACCCCGTTAGAAGAAAAAAAAACTGAATAAATAGCATAAATTAAAAAATGAAGCGAAGCGATGTTGAAGCAAAAAAATCGTCCTTCATTTCTGCGTCAAGTAAATCTTCAAATGATATCTCATAGTTGCAAGATAGCATATTTATGATGCCTTTTTACTCTCGAAATAACCACCCGTCCATCTAACGATAATGTTGCAAACACCCACGGGTCATTGGTGGCCCAAGCACAACTGTAAACTGATTCTTCATGTTCCTCTAGTTTTTCAAGGCGGCCATCTTCCAATCTGCAATAATTCAATGATACTATTAATTTATTAATCAAAATTTATTAATCAATTAATCTGTTAATCAAAAAAAAAAAATCATTCAAAACAAACAAATGATAAATGAATGAAAAATATATAAAAGAAACAAAGAATCTACTTTGGAACTCTTGTATTTTCAGCATCATCGTTTACAAAATCAAGCGCATGCATAGATTCTGAGCTTAGCGATTCCAAATTGTTAAGAAAAATACGAGCATCGCTACCTACCGACAATAATAACTGATCGTGAATAGGATTGAAACGAACCGACCAGACCCTAGAATAAAAAAAAAAAAATATTTGGAAAGAAAAAAAAAAAGAATCTAAAGGAATAACAAGGAGAATCAAACAAGTGATCAACAATACAAAAAACAAAAAAGTACTATCAAAAAGCAAAAGGATGTTAATATTTTAGGCAAGAACAAATATATCTAACCAGTGCGAATGATCATGAAGTGATTTTAATGGTTCCATTACTTTTCTGGTGTCCCAAATTGATACCTTGCAATCGTCACCACATGTAGCCAAAATATATTGCACATTGGGATTGTAATCCAAATTTCGTACATTTGGCGTATTTACGCTCTCAATTATGAATGCACTGCTAAAAAAAAGAAATTATGAAAAATTTTTTATTTTGACTAAATAATTTATATTTGGCAACAATTTTCATTGCATAACGACTGAAAAATTTTTACTCCAGAGATCTATAATCAATTCCTTTAATAAAATCATCATAAGCAACAGATATTAAACTTCCATTAGAATGAGGATTCCATGAAATGGCATTTATACTCCCTTTACATGCGATTTGCATGGAATGTACAGTCTGAAAAGTTTGCACAATATCATTGTAGTACTATTTATTTTGTTAATCCTGTTATTTTCAACTTTTTTAGAATTGAAATATAAAAAACACTGAATTTAAAAGAAAAAAATGAAAGAACCTAAGGATTCACCTCAAGGGAATCGTTAATATCCATGAAATTTAAAGTTTTATCGAAAACGACTGCTGCTTTTTGTCCATCTGGATGAAATTCGAATCTAAATTAGTTTTTGATAAATTCATGACAATCAAAAAGCAACAACAAATGCTCTTCTGTTGTTTTCAAATCATAAAAAAAAATAGATTGGCTAATAATTTATATAATCATTCAAAATCAGAAAATCAGAAAAAACTTACGACGAGCAACGTCGCGTTCCCTTTGGACAATTAAATGTAGTTAGTGCCGTCAATGAAGAGGGTTCTTGCTCAATTTTCCATAACGATGCACCACATTCGATTTTTCCAGTCCCAAAAAATTCAAATTAAAATGAATGAATATCATTTGCTTTAATTTTGCATTCCAATTTTTCTATATAAAATTTGATATTTTTTAAATAAAATAATCAATTAACGACGATTTATTATAAGGAAAATTTATAGCAAAATTTTTTAAAAAAATTATTCCATTAAAAAAATCTGCCTAATTAGATTTAATGTAAGAATTAATAATGATAGAATTGATTAAATAAAAGGGCATGTTGGTGATTCACCTGCACTTATCCAATGGATTCTCTGGTATATTTGTCTAGTGCGATAAGCCTGCAAAGCAAATCTCACCAGTAATGGTGAGGATCCTTAAAAATAAAAATAAAGCGGCTTACAACTAGAATAACACGTCGCGACAACAGATGGATCAAGTGGTGAGCTAGCGAGATGCCATATCTCTCCAGACGGATGAGCAAATGAACGCTTTGAAATTTGTAGCCAGTCATCATCGACTTCGAGTACGCATAACTAAAACAGAATTTTTTGGAAGATTAGATTAGATTAATATAATCATATCAATAACTCTAATATTTGCACATTTATATAGGTAACTGAAGCAAAATCAACAAGAGCAATAGAATGGGTATTATTTAGACCGCCAACTTGAGTGCCAAGTTTCCGGTCTTATATACGCATTGGATCGCTAATTGAAGAAATTTGATGGAAAAAGCGAGAACAATAGTAAGCACCATCGTAATTGCTGTTTTTTATTTTTTTATTGCAAAAAGGCTTACGAAACAACATAGTATTCATCAAAAATAAGAACAACTGCTGAACGAAAAATGAAAAATAGTGACTTAGAATAAAAATTACCAAGAAGAATTAAGCCAAATTAAAATCATCAGCCTTGTTTAAAAATAGCCTGAGGACAACAGTACTTTAATTTACATATATGTATCACCTGATTGTCCTGTTTTATAGAAAGAGTTCCAGCAAGAAACAACGTCCTTTCCTGTTCAGCATGAACTCCAACTATACAACGAGTCTGCTGATCGATGCCATACATAAGTGACAATGGTTCACTCATTTTCGATGATAACAGAAAGAAGCTCTTGTCAACTATTGAAGGTTATATCGCATTGCAGTACAATTTATTTTACTGAAAGAACTGAAAATATCAAATCGTAAATTATAATAATAAGAATTACTTTCATAATTATTCAAAGTAATACTACCATAGTTTTTTTTTCTTAGAGCGCTTACTATTTCTTAAGTTCGTTCTACTGGCTTGTTCGACGAGGAAAAGTTTTGCCAAAGAGACACTTAGCAATAGAAATACAAGTGAACCGCCCAAGCACCACGATTTTTAAAAAATAAATTTTTAGGTTTCGAATTCCTCAGTCTCGGCCCTTCAAAATAACGACATATTATTAAATAAAAATAATATTAAATAAAAATAAAATAAAAACAAAAAAAATTAAAAAATTAAAAAATAAAATTAAAATTAAATTTTTTTATCGCAAATTAAAATTAAAATTAAAATTTAAAAAATAAAAAAAATCACCACCTAATATAATAAAAAAAGAGAAATTTTCTTTATTTTTTATTAAGATTTTTATTATTTTATTATTAATTTAATCAATTTAAAAATAAAGTTTTAATGAAGAAAATCAAAAAATTGAAAAAAATTTGCGATAAAAAAAAGTAAAAATATTATAATTGTATTAATAATAATATAAATAAACAAATTAATAAGTTATAAATTAATTAAAATTATAATTAGATTAAACGGAAGGATTAAAACAATAATAAATAATTTGTCTTAAATAATTCTAATCACTATATTTCTTTATAAAATGGTGTTGGTACTTTAAAACATTTTTTCCTGAACTGATTTTTTTGCTAAATATTTAAAAGGAAGTGAATAATGAAATAAAAATATTGCAAGCATTATACTAAACTCAAATAGCAAATATAAAATAATTAACAACAAATCTTTATTCGTAAAGATTTTCAACAATATAAATGCTACAAAATAAATATACAATGAATCTTAAAATTTTAATACACAAACTTCAACCTTTGTACGAATTTTGCACATTTTCATTGCCATATCCATAATAAAATTAATAATAAAATCGAATCGAAATTGATTAAAATAGCAAGAAAATTTTCTTTCATTGATATAACGTTTTGCAGATATACGCAACAATAGAATTATAAAAATAGTTTTCGAAAAAAAAAAATTTCAATTGAAAACATATTTATTATAAATAAGAACTAATAATAATTAAATCAAATAACAAATTATGAGCCAAACTATTTTAAATTTTAAATTAAAACTATGCCTAACAATGGAAAATTTTTTTTGCAAAAAATATCTTAATTATTGCAAATATTTATTTAAAAAACAAAAAACTTTTCCCTCACTCCCTTGTGGATGGTCATGACCCCTTGGATCCTGTATAAGAGGCCAGGAAGATGTGTTTCGCATTTAACTGTTCCTAACATGTCGCACTAGACAGATATGCCAAGAAGTAAATGCAGGTGAGCCAGTATCACCCGTATATTTGGCCAAGTTTATTTAGGGATCACAGTCGCAAATATTTATTATTTACCTTATATTTTTATATTTATTATTTATATTTATAAATATTTTATATAACTACTATAATTTCTTTTTTCAGTTAGCTAGCATCGAAATATGAATTATAAATTACACCAATGGTTGACAAGGATATATTTACAAGTAGTGTTATAATGAGACAAAGCGACCAAAGGCCACGCTGAACGGTTTTATTGAAAAGTAAACGTAGTGAAGCCAATGATTTTTTATCTCTTGTTATCATGGCATATGAATGTTGAGTGCCTAACCACGAGTAATCACCTATAAAAAAAAAGGAATATTATCGCTAATATTTCTAGAAGAACGATTAGCGATTGATATCGAAATATTCAAACATAATTTTTCGTTTATTTTTCGCCGAAAAAAATTACCTAATGTTTTGAGAAGTAAAACAACGAATAGTGGCAGAAGTGCAGGAATAAAATATTGCAATGCCGCAACGTTCAAATAAGACAAATAGCGATATACCTGAAGTTTACGCTTAAATAAGTATGGAACAAATAAGAAAAAAAAATAAATTCAATAGGAAGTTTTCATTCATTTATTAGAAATATTTATTTATTGGTTTTGAAGATTAAAAAAAATTATCTTAAAAAGAAAATAAAAAAAAATTACTCTCTTTATTACCTTGAAAATTTTTCGGAATTGTCCTCTCTAAGCGCCTAAATTTAAAGAAAAAATGATGCTTCTGGAAAATTTCCAAGCAATCTTAATTTTTTCCTTCTCAGAACCTTTCAGGACTTTCAAATTATTCAGAATTTCGCAAAGGAATTGCTACTTATGCACCAAATCATTTATAATAAAAATTAATAATAATAAAAAATCTAAAAATAAAATTAACGAAATTTGTGATAAAAAAAATAATTAATAAAACAATAAATTTAATAATGACCATAAATAATAACGGAAGCCTACTTATTTTATTTAAATAGAATTGTTTTTTTAAAATTACACAATTATATTTGAATAAGCAAATTCTATTTCATTAGTTTTTCAGCAAGAAAAGTGGCTTTGAATCTCTAAAAGACTATTCAATTAAATGTGAATTAACAAGAAAATAATGTTTTGCAACAACTATAGAAATATAGAACTATAAAAACAAGAAATTGAACTTACGAATAAAAAAAATTTCAGATCTTGTAAAATATCGTTTATTAAAAATACTAACTAGCTGTTGCAATTCGTTATTATTGATATTGCCAGCTTGAGTATGCAATTTTTCTAAAGACTTCTTGGCCAAATTAAGATGAGACTGCAAATGACTTCGATAAAATGCAACGCGAACCAGTGTCGAAATAACCGTGGAAATAATTCGCAAAGAAGCAAGTTCCTCTTCAGTTAATCTAAAAAAATTTGACAGGAAACCGCCAATTAGCGATGTAGTAATACCATTTATATTACTTATAAAAAATCTACCAATACCTACTGATCAAATGAATTTTTATTATTACAATTACTTTAAAAAAGAATTTCAAGAAAAAAGAATTTATTTCAAGAAACAATAAAAACAACTACAAATAAATAAAAAAACCAATGAAAGAATTTTCAAAAATTTAAAAGTTTACCTAATTCGAGGTCCATTCAGCAAATAATTACGAACTGGATTGGTGAATAATATCAATGGAAAAATTTGTAAAAGAAAGACCGAGTGATAAATTAATCTGCAAAAAATTATTAAGCATAGAAAAATTAAATATGACAAATTTTAATTAAATTAAAAATATCCCTAAACCAGATAAATTTATTTATCTCGGTATTAAGTAGAGGAGTAACTGTAATAATTGGCATGATAAATGATAAACAACGATCTAAAATTAACTGATATGATTTAATTTTGATTCATATACGTGAAACAGATAATGCCTAAAATAAACGAAAAATAAAAAGAACAAACAATACTTGTATCCTGGAGTTGCATCATTTAAAACGTTGGTATACATTCGTGCATAACGGAAATTGGGAAAGACTAGCATAGATGACATAGCAGCAAACATAACTGAAAAAGAAACAAACAAGAGAATAGGTGAGCGCTTCTGCAAATTATCCGAGAAATCCACAGCAGTAAAAAATTCAGAGGTAGAATTTATAAATGATTCGTAGGCTGAAAAAATAAATAATTAATAAAGGAAATCCAGCAGATTAACAAGAATTTGGGATATTTAAACGAATTAGACGAGAAGTTTAAACCGATAGACCTTTGTTAATAGTGACATCAAAAAACCTTTCACCAAATACCATAAAAATCATCGAAAAAAGAAAGAAAACAGCCGCAAAAGATATCATCAAATTCCTTTCTGCTTCAAGCTTTTCGCCAGAAAAAAAAGTTACAACCATGTTTGCAAGGGCCTAAAAATTATGTACATATTTCGTTCAAAAAATGAGAAGCGCTTAGACGCCCCATAGCCACAAACATTATAGAATCACCTGTAACAAAAATCCAATCGCTAATAGCAGCCATACGATTGAAACATTTATATCGACACTATCCGGAAATATAAAGCAGAAAATTTCACTGAGCGAATAAATAAGCTAAAAATATTTTCTCTTTAAAGATTTTGATAAAAAGACGGAAAAGAAAAATAAAATCAAGCAGAAACAAAAAATTTAGCAAATAGAAAAAAAATTTAAAACCAATGTGAAAACAGTAAAATCGACGATCCATGAAAGTGTTATAAAATGCGGTAAACACAAAATATCGCTATAACTTATTGGCAATAAAGTCAAATTAATATCAATATTTTTTGGAACAGAGAAGTTTTCCCAATCCATTTCTCTGCAAATCACTCAAATTAAGCAGTCATTTATAACATAAATTTATTTTCCACTATTACTAGTTAGACTTGCTCCACTGGCTCGCTCCAATGGACAAATATACCAAAGGATGCCCTTGACGATAGAAGTGAATGTGAGTCACCATCATTACCCAAATTTTTGGATTTTGGACAAATTTACTCTTACGAGAAATGGTATTTATACGATAAATACAACTTTTTGTAAATTCAATTAAATTAAATTAAATTAAAATGAATATTCAAAAAAAAAATCTTTACTAATATTTATAGAAAATCGAACAGAAAAAAAAAACAACAAGAAAACAAGCAAATAAATAAATAAACAAACAATAATAAACAAATACCGAATAAATCGACGTTTACGATTTTTGGTTGCGCTAACAATTTGTATTTTTTCTTTCAGTTCTTTACTCGTTGGTGGAATATAACAAAACAATCTAAAAAGATTTATAATAACCAAAATAAAATGTGATAAATTAAAAATTTTTTTAATATTTTCTAGCTAATATTAAAATTATTGCTTCGTTTTGTCCTTTTTTTCTTTCCTTAACAATTCATAGCGAATGTACAAATGTACAAATATAAATCACAAACCCTGAGCCAAGAAGAAATTGAGCAAATGAGAAACGTGAACGAAATTTCATAAAAATCGTAAAAACGATTAATGTCGCTATTGTGTGAAATCCGAAAATTGCCTTAAAAATTTATTATTCATATTATAAAATTTCACATTATAAAGAAAATTTTAAATAAATCAATTAAAAATCAAATAAATTTAAGATAAATCAAATAGATAATAAATAACCAATAAATAAATATTTTCAAATACACAAATATAAATATATACAATTTTAATATAAAATAAAAGTAAAATCAAAATAAAAATATGAACGTAAATTTTGGTATAAATATAAATAATATTTTACATTAAAATATATATAAATATAAATGATTTTAGATGAAAATATAAATATAAATTTTAATATAAAATAAATAACCAATAAATAAATATTTCAAATAAAAGTACAAATATAAATAGAAATTTTAATATAAAATAAAAGTAAAATAAAAATATGAATTTAAATTTTAGCATAAATACATAAATATAAATAAAATTTTCATTAAAATATATATAAATATAAGTAAAATTTTGAATAAAAATATAAATTTTATTATAAATATGAATCACACTTTAAATGAAAATATAAGTATAAATTTTAATATAAAATAATAAAATTGACATAAAAATATGAATAAAAATTTTGGCACAAACATAAATAATATTTGAAATTAAAATATATATAAGTATATATAAATATAAGTAAAATTTTGAATAAAAATATAAATTTTAATAAAAATATGAATCAAATTTTAAATGAAAATATAAATATAAATTTTAAATTATAAATAAAAATAAATAAAATTTATTTTGAATTTTTGAATTTTTCGTGAATAAAATTTGAAATTAATAAAAATTTATTTCATCTAAATTTATTTCATCTAAAAAATTTCATCTAAAATTAATTTTTCTTAAAAATTAAAAAATTAATAAAATATGGAGAATAGCAATAAAAATGATAAAATACCATTTATTTTAGCGATTTTATTCGAGTTTATATGGCAAAATTAGAAAAATATTTTCAAATTCGCTATAAATCTCTTCCTTTCCATAAGAAAAAATATGCAACGTTTGATCCTCAATGCCCTTAGCTCATACATAATAAGTTCATACGACTTATTAAATTAAAACTAGCCGAAATAATGATAAGCCGATTTTTAAATCGGCTGCTATAAATCGGCATCGGCCTCTGCCATGTATCTATCTTCTCTGTGGGTAGGATGGCTGATTGCCCTGAGGAAGTTGTTTTGTCCTAATGGCTAATGGAACCAGCCAAACCAGGGATAAACCAAAATCTGGGAACGAATAGAAATATCTCTTAGGAATGTTTTATTTAATAATAATAATTTGGTTGCGAAGTGGAAAATGCGAAGATCTCACGGTTCCGGCACTATTTTTTATGACACCTTTAGCACCATTGTTACCTTTGCTACTGTTTTCGGCACCACTTCAATGGTACCATTTTTTCGATGTGGTTGTCCATAGCAAAAGCGAAACATCAAGAAAGAAATTTTATTTTTGCGATTTTTATGAAAGTATAATTTGATATAATTATGAAATATAATTATTAATTATATAATAATTATAATTTTTAATTTTAATATCCAGGAGCGAGACGAGCTGGTGGGCAATGGTCGCAACTTCCTGGTGCACCAGGTTGACCGGGTTGGCCTGGTTCGCCTGCTTGCCCATTTGGCCCAGGTGGTCCTGAAATTCAATTTTATAACGTTCCAATTTCTTTCATTCTAATTGATTTTATAAGGAAATAAATGGTTTACCTCGTGGGCCGGGTTCGCCCTGGTTTCCTGGTGGCCCATTGTCTCCATCTTTTCCTGGTGTTCCAGGGCGTCCTGGCTGACCTGGTGGGCCTGGTCTTCCTTGTGGTCCTGGTGGTCCCGGTGGTGGTCGTTCACCTGGAACTAATTGTCCGGGCTCGCCTGGAGGCCCACGTTGTCCTGGTTGGCCTGGCTGACCCGGAGGTCCCGGTGGTCCTGGCGGTCCTTGTGGTCCTGGTGCTCCATCTTCGCCATCTGCATATTTTTTTATTATTTTCTTTTTGTTTAAATTTTTAAAATATTTGGAATTTAATTAGGCGTAGGTGAAAAGTTACGAAAAAAATAAATATAAATCAAATGATAAATAAATAATAGCATTTATTGTGTTTACTTGGCCCTGGGTTTCCTGGCTGTCCATCGGAACCTGGTGGTCCTGGTGGTCCTGGTGGACCTGCAGGTGCTTGACATGGGCACTGTGGTGGAACTGGTAAAATTTTTTCGTGAATTTCTGCATCTCTTCCTGGTGGTCCAGGTGCTCCTGGTCCATCTCCAGGTGCGCCATCTTTGCCCGGTATTCCTGGTGGTCCATCTGGTCCCGGTGGTCCCTGTTGACATGTGCAGCACTGAGCTTCAGCTTGTCGAGTTACTCTCATAAGTACGTCCAAAGAATCTTCTCCCTCTGGTGCCATGTCAACCATTTCTCTCCACATGTCACGAGATCGAGTTTTGCAATACTCGACCTCTCCCTGAAGTTTTCGATAGGTCATCACATTGTCTATAGCTGAATTTGAGAGTTCTTCAGCAGCTATATTCTAAATATTTAATTTCTAGTTGCCTTAAACTGCGAATTCACCTGTACTGTAGCTTGTAGCGTTTGCACATAGTGAAATACCATAGGAAATGTGAAGATACATGCGGTGACAGCGACCGTCGAGAAGACAACAGCAGTGAACGCAACCGAACGTAGCGAGGATTTCTTCTCCATAGGTGGTGCTTCTAGTGGTGTTTTGGGAAAAATAACAAACTAATAATTTCTCTATCTATCTTTTATATTAACGAAATGAACAAGGAAAAATAATTAAACCGGTATTTTTAGGAGCGGAACGAAACACCATTATGAACATTTGAAATGCACCACTCTTTCTTTCTTCTTATCCATTATAAATAAATTTAAATTATGTATTCATTTTGAGATTTATAAAATAAAATAATTTAGCGTTTTTTTCTGCCTAAAAAAGCTAAAAATTCTAAAAGCTAAATTTAGAACTTTTTAAAAATATTTTATTTAATTAAAAATAAAAATGCAAATTTTTTTTTTTTGTATTTCTAAATTCAAAAAATTTATGCAAAAATTTTGATTTTTCATGAAATATAAAAGAAATATTCATCAAATTCAATGAAAATACAATTCCAAAAAAGAGAAAAATAAGCAATAAAAAAGGCGAATGAAGGAGTGTGGAAGAGGGGAGTTGGTTTTAATTTCCGTCTTTCAGTAGAGAAAATCTGTCATTAAAAGAGAAATCAAGATAGTTGCTGAAGTCGCAGTTATATTTCTAGTCACCAGAAACCTATATATATCTTCTTAGATTAAATCTTCTTAGATTGAAGAGGTATGGAAAGCAGTCGCGGATCCTTGGATGCTTCGAATCGCACCCTTTAATGAAAACTTGCTTGCTTATTGAGGAATTTTATTGAAAGGATTTCTAAAGAATGCTAAAAAAAAAATAGGATATACGCAAAAAACATTGAAATAATCATCGTAATAGTCGACCGGTTTGCAAGTTCTTTAATCATGCAAAATAATAAAATACACTCAAAGAAAAGGAAAAAAAAAACTATTGCTAACTTTCGACTTTTAGTATTATCATACTGATAAAGTGTAGCATTATCATATTGATAAAACTTGAAATTTATAAGAAAATTTGGATAAATAGAAATTCTTAAAGGACTTTATTGCCAAAAAAAGCCATCTTAGCGTCTTTCCAGGAAAGCCAAATAAAATTTGCTAGGAAAAAAAGAGGGCTAATTTTCTTTTGCGTAATATTCGATAAAAAAATTTCATCCAGGCGATGATTCAATTTAATTTTTCGAAATCCCATTATCCCATCGATATGCCAAAGAAGCAAAGCGAAATTCATTAGTTATCAAATTAATTTAATTGAATTGATTAAAATTTATTTTATTTTTTGTATTTTGTATTTTTGCTTTGTTTATTAACATTAAATATTAAAATTTAACTAAAAATTTCATTATCTAAGCAAAAAATTTTAAATTAAATCAAACAAAATGTATAAATTAATCATAAATGAATCAGAATTTTAAAGTTGGCAAAACTTGAATTAAATGATAAACAAAAATGGTTGCTGATAACAGAAAGTTTGATAAAGTTTTCGAAAAATTATCATAGAAGCAAACAGTATCTTAAGGTGGTTTAATCGAACCGTGATTTAGGCATCTTTAATCTCGTTAGGAAATGGATCTTGCATGACCTCCCTTAACATTAATCTTCATCCATTATCCTACTCATTTTGGATGTTTCTGGTTATAAGCGTTTCAAATTAAGCATAAAAATGTTTAAAATTCTGTCGACAATCGGAAACTGTCGCCAGTTTTCGAGAAACTAGCAAAATATTAAAAGCCATATTGCAAATTTCTCTATAAAATATTCGAGACCATCAGGAGAGAGACTTTTCATATTTGATTAAACTAAAAAGTCAACGTATTTAAAAAATAGCTAATTGTATTCAAATTTTATGATAAGCAGAAAATTTACACCTTATCACTGATAGTCATAACAATCATCGGAACTTCATTTTTATATTTGTTCCAGACTTTAAGTTGCGATGGATTTTATTATTATTTATTAAAAAATTATTTATTAAAAATTATTTATTAAAAATTTAATTTGTTTGTTTTTTTTGATAGGCTATCTTACCTTATGCTTATAGCCAGCGGAGCCGGACTGACCAGTAATGGTGAGAGCTGTTAGAAGAAAAATGCTATACTATATTTTGTTAGATACTCCTTGTTGCTCCTTTAAATTCTTACTTTTTTCAAATCATTTTTTTTTTTTATTTCTAGGATCTGCTCGGTTCGTTTTAATTCCATTAACAATCAATTTCATTATTATTCGTCGGTAGCGATGCTCGTATTTTTCTTAAAAATTTGAAACCATAAACCTCAGAACCTATGCATACATTTTTGCTAACGAAAATGCTGAAATTCCAAAGGTTGTGAAAAAAATTTTCGTTTTAACGAAAAACCGAAAAGAAAACTGAACACTCTGAAAACTTCGCTTACAGTTATGCTTCGATCGTCATGGAACACCTCGCAATAAAATAAAAGAATTCATAAATTACTACTTTAAATTAGTGAATATCCGACCTGGCAGAAAAGCTACTCATTATTAATTTTATAAATTTTTATTTTTATTTTTTTATTTTTAAAAATATTTTTTAATGCACTTATAATTATTTAATTATTTTCGAGAAGCGATTAATTTCAATTTTGAGATTATTTTTATTTGGTAATAAAATTTATGACTACAATTATAAGTAAAAAAGCCAAAAAGCAAATAAAAAATTCCATTCTCTTTCATTTGTAGCATACAAAGAAGGTGAATCGCCTACGAAGTTCATCATCAAGTTCGTCGACTTGGGCCCATTAGATTGAGGCTGAAGTACCATAAGAAAGGAGAGTTTGGGCGGTTAAACGAATTAAATTAATCAATCAATGATCAAAATGATCATTTTATCTTCTATGCTTACTCGACCTGTAGATTTCAGCAAGCCTCTACCATAGAAAATGAAAGACGATGGATTATAAGCCTCAATAGCGAATGACAATTGTCCATTGACCATTGACCTTGCTCTTTGCTATATTATTAGTGCTATCTTATTATGACTATTCATAAAATGAACGCCTTTGCTAGCCAAGTTTCAACGCAAATTTAAAGCATTTTCACTTCAATTTTTTATCACTTATATTGCGTGTTTTTTTTTTACGTGAGCTACGTGAAAAAAATCGTTTAGTTTTTAAGTTTTTACATTGGTTTCTCAAAAAATTTTCTCAAATATGGAGGAAAATTTTTAGTAAAAGTGAAATATGCAATTGAATGTGCGCAAATGTCCAACTGATGAATTGGCAATATCAAATTGTGCTATAGTTAATGCAAAACTCTTTGATTTGAAGGATATTAAGTTAGTTTTGCTTTAAAATATGATTAACGAAACAGTAATTCACCACTTTTTGATAAAAATAAAAGCAATTGTCTCGGAATTGTCTCTGAGGGGAATCACTGTAAACGCGAATTGTAAACCATTCGGAATTATTGAAGCCTTTAAGCGAGTCTAATAATTTATACTTGAAAATCTCAATTAAAATTATAATTTGCACTTATAGTTTTCAGTTATAATTTAATTATAATTATCCAAATAATGATAAATAAAATCTAAAATAATTTCTTCATAATTAAGGCATGTATTGGTGAAAACAGGCCCGGCTCGTCAGTTTATTTTTACCATAAAAAATCATCCATCAGTGGAAATGGATGGAATTGCATTTGCGATGCAACAACGCAAATGGGCCGCTTTATCATTAGATCAGGCGGTTGACGTTCAACCGTTTCTCTTTCGGAACGATGAATATATTAGTTCAATCGTATTTGCTGCTGATTTTCAATCAAAGAAAGGGTTGGTTAGTTGATATTATTTTCTATGGTACTAAATTTGTGCTTTTATATTACGTTTAGGCTAATTGAATTTCAGGCAAACTCAAGAACCATTAAATTCGGATTTTATGGCACGTGAATTTTCTATGCAATTTACTGGAAAAGCTTTCACTCGTGGTGAATTACTGGTTTTCAAATTTGATGATGATAAGCAGAAAACTTACACGTTATCATTGACAGTCGTATCAATCACTGGTATTTCAACTTCATATTCCAGTCGTTTTAAGTTGTGATGAATTCTGTTATCACTTATCAAAAATTTATTATTTATAAAATTAGTCCAATAGGAATTTGACTTTTTTCAAAAGTAAATTTTTGCATTTTATGCTAATATTCATTATGGTTGTGGCGATTCTTATCTTCGCACAAAACGATTACTTCAGGAATCGATTTATCTGCAACAACCAATCCACAAAATGGCGATGAAGAAAGGATTATGGAAGTGATTTTTTAAATTTAAAATTTAGTGAAAATTTTTACATCGTTGGAAGAACTGTAGACTCTAGCTTTATTTCTTATATACTTCTGCGTTAATAATTTCTAAGTTTTTTTCAAGATTCTCCAAAAAAATGAACACAAAAAAATGCATGGATAAAGCACTTTAATATATTAGAGATAAACTAATGGAATATTTTATCACCACCATTCATTATCATATTTTATCACCATCATTCATTATCATGAAATTATCATAGTTTATAAATTTATCACTAATTAACAATTTTATCAGTGATTGTCGTGCATTATTCGAGAATATACATTATTTCTTTATTTGAAGATAGTTTCTGGACAACTTATATCAAATTCAGCTATCGTTTTCGATAAAACCGAAGGTTCGATGTTGAATTTGATTGGCAAATGTAAAGGGTAATAATGCATCTTTCATTTAATTTCCGACAATAATCAATGTTACTCGAAAATTATAGAAATTTTTTCAAAAAAAATTATACTGGAGTTTTTGGAACTCCTTTCAGTAAATCTACGAATCGAGCGATTATAAATTCGAATTGGAATTTCCGGGAAATGGGTATTGGTGGTTTGGGCAAAGAAATTTCGACCATATTTAGGCGCGCCTTCGTTTCGCGTATTTACCCTCCGGAATTCATCGAGCAATTCGGTATTATTCAAAAACTAAGAATTTTGAAAATTTGAAAATAATTCAAATTATTTTTTTCATGAAAACTTGAAAAATAACGAATAATTTAAGCAATGAAACACGTTCGAGGCATCTTATTATACGGACCTCCTGGAACCGGCAAAACTTTAATGGCTCGACAAATTGGAAAAATGTTGAATGCCAGAGAACCAAAGATTGTCAATGGACCTCAAATTTTAGACAAGTGAGTCCACTTATTTTAAGTTATTTGATAGAATTTCCCTTTTTTCAATAATAAGATTCCAAAGTTAAGGTATGTTGGTGAATCAGAGGCGAATATTCGAAAATTGTTTGCAGACGCAGAAGAGGAATGGAAACGATGTGGTGCAAATTCTGGTCTTCACATAATTATTTTTGATGAAATTGATGCGATTTGCAAACAGCGTGGATCAGTGGTTCGTAATGAATAAGAGAAATGGTGAAATAAATTTGGACCAATATAATTTAGAAAAATTTAGGCTGCCACATCAGCAGTACATGACACAGTTGTAAACCAATTATTAGCCAAAATGGATGGTGTTGAACAACTAAATAATATTCTGGTTATTGGGATGACAAATAGAAGAGATATGATTGATGAGGCATTATTGAGACCAGGTCGAATGGAAATGCAAATGGAAATTTCACTGCCAGATGAATTCGGACGTTTGGAGATTTTAGAAATACATACAGCGAGGATGAGGTAAAGGAACACAATTAAAATAAAACTGTCTTTATTTTCAGATAGAATAACTTTAAAATGTTCAATTTTAATGGTACATTTCGTATTTGTCGAAATCTTTATTTTTGCTTTTGCTTATAAGTAATAATTCTGTTTTTACGGTAATTTTGGGGGATAGGATGGCTCAGTGGGTTGTTGCTCAATTGGAAGCATCGTTGCTGAGGTTTTACTCCCCGCAGAAGTAAACTCGTACAAAAAACTGGCTAATGCTGGCGACTTACCTGTATTTCTATCGCCTAGCATATTGTCCAATGCGGCAATCCAGTGGACAAGGTTCTACCAATAATGGTGAGGAATCTTTAAAAAAATAATTCTATTTTTAGGCAGTATGGCAAGCTAGACCCTAATGTCGATCTCATTGAACTAGCAAAGCGAACGAAATATTTTAGCGGAGCAGAAATTGAAGGTCTTATAAGAGCTGCACAATCGCTTGCAATGAATAGATTAATTAAGGTAAATAAAAACTTTTATATTTCTGATTGCTTTGGGCAAAATTTTTGGGATCTAATGATTTTTTTATCGAATGAAGCAAATATTTGAAAATTCTATATCATCGCATAACTATCACCACATTTTTATAATATATGTTTATCCTAGAACGACGGTAAAATTTGCTTGGATACAAATGATATTGACAAATTTATGGTCACCGTCGACGACTTTAATTATGCTCTCGAAAATGATATCAAACCTGTTGCTTTTTTTGCTATCCCAAATTATTGCTCCTTCCATTTTTATATTATTTCATTTTCACTATTTTTTCACTATTTTCAATTGTTTTTTAATTTACTATTTTTTACTATTTCATTCTCATATTTATTATTTCATAAATAATTTCATATTCATTACTCATAACTTAAGAGAACGTTAAAGTTTTGTAAATCGGCATCGGCATTTTATCGAATTTTCTTGTAGGCATTTAATTCATCAGATGGTGAAAAATTAGAGAGACTCTTCCCTCATGGATTAGTTATTTGGAGTTGTGAAATTTCTCGTATATTGGAACGTGGCGCTTCATTCGCTCAACAAGTACGAAGAAGTAACTCAGATAGGTTTGGTACTTTGCTATTAGAAGGTGAGTGATAATTTATTTCAGATTCTTTTAAGAAATTTTAGTAATTTTAGAAATTTCGAAGAAATTTTATTTAAAATATTTCAAAATTAAATTAGTTCGCAGGTCTTCCGGGTAGCGGAAAATCTTGTTTAGCGGCAACTATCGCCAAGCAGTCGGATTTTCCATTTATTAAAGTGGTAAGCGCTGAAGATATGGTGGGCTTCAACGAAACGGCGAAGTATATGAATTTGCATAAAATATTCGACGATGCATACCGTTTGCCGCTTAGTTGTCTCATCGTCGATGATATTGAGCGCCTTTTGGGTAAAATAATACTTTTACCCTAGTTTTTTTACCTTTTTTTTATTAATTATGAAATTGCCACTTCTGTTAAATCATTAATTTTCTATTATTTTTAGATTATTCGCCTCTCGGACCTCGTTATTCGAATTTGGTTCTTCAAGCGTTGTTGGTTCTCTTTAAAAAGCAGCCACCTCCTGTAAGTTCCAAGTCTTCAAATAATTTTTATGGATTTTTTAATAATATTTATTAGAAATTTATATAAATTATATATTATATATTTATATATGAATTATATTATATTTATATTTATAGATTTATGTTTATTTAAATTATATTTGTATTTATTTGTATATTTATATATTTATTAATATTTATATTTACCTAAATTATATTTATATTTATTTATATATTTATTAATATTTATATTTATTTAAATTTATTAGAAATTTATATATATTTAAAATTTATTTAAAATTTTGTTTCTTCTAAAATTTTTGAAAAAATCCATTCATTTTATTTTTCTTTTCATAACCTTTAGAATTGTCGTTTATTCGTTATTGCCACTTCGAGGAAACGATCTCTTTTGGACGAACTCGATTTGCTAACCGAATTTGACGAAGTTATTAATGTACCTGTGCTGAGCACTGCAGAACACTTGATGACCGTCGTTGAGGCGACGAATGCGTTTTCACAAGCGGAATGTGATAAAATTCGAAGGGAACTTTCTTCTAGTGATGATATGTATGCTTCTTCTTTATTTTATCACTTAAGAAATTTTATCACTTAAGAAAAAAAGATGTTTAATTTCTTTTTTAAAAATTAAACCATCTTTGGTTTCTTTGACCATTTCTAAATGCATCTTTTTTTAGTAAATATAAATATTATATGGTTCAATAAATGGTGAAATTCAAGATCAGATTTATATTTATTCAAGATTTATATATATTTAAATTATATTTATATTTATTTATATATTTATTAATATTTATAATTATAATTATTTAAATTTATTTATTTTAATTTATTAGAAATTTATTTATATTTATATTTAAAATTTATTTAAAATTTTGTTTCTTCTAAAAGCACTTTCTAAATAATTTTTTTTTAGACATTCAATCGGAATCAAGAAATTATTTCCTATAATTGAAAGGATTAAAGCGTCGAAGCGATCAGAAAATGCTGAATATATCATTAAAGAATTGCTTGGAAATAAATGGTGATGGTGTGACGATTTATTTTCAATATTTAATTTTATTTAATTTAATTTATATTTCCAAAATCTATTTTTTTAAATTTATTTGTTTGTTTTTTCCTAATTGAAAATAGTTGTTTTTCGCGTAATGGAGGAGAGAAAATGCTAAAATTTTATTCGCCAATTTTAATTTTAATTTATATTGGAGATTGATAATTTTTCTTTTCCAACATTAAAAATAAAAATGCAAATTTCTTTTTTTTTTTGCATTCGTATTCCTAAATTCGAAAAATTGAAAATTTTAAAATTTCGAAAAAAAGGGGCCAAATTTTCTTTTGCGTAATATTCAATTAAAAAATTTCAACCAGGCGACGAATTTAATTTTTCGAAATTATCCCATCAATATGCCAAACAAGCAAAGCGTAATTCATTAGTTATCAAATTAATTTATTTGAATTGATTAAAATTTATTTTATTTTTTATATTTTGTATTTTTGTTTATTAACATTAAATATTAAAATTTAACTAACTAAAATTTAATTAATTTCATTATCTAAGCAAAAACTCGTATAAATGAATTATAAATGAATCAGAATCTTAAGGCTGGTAAAACTTGAAAATTAAGTGATAAACAAAAATGATTGTTGATAATAGAAAAGTCTGATAAAGTCTTTTTTCATATAGGTATTTGGTCGTTCGGTGGAAGAATGGGCAAAATTCGCATTATGGCAAATTTGACCAATACTAAACCCATCAACTTATCAAATTTGGTAAAATATTTATAGAAGAATGAGTAATTTAGCTGATTCTTCTTTTCTAACTGTGACACTGTGGGCATCATTTCAGATTTAATTGATTCAACTGATTATTCGAGAGGGATTATTTCGCTGATCGATTACATTTAATAGTTCCTTGGTGTGAGTGATCTTATCACTCTTATTTTGTTTTGTACCAAAAATTTTGTAGTTTTATTCCTTTCTATTAAGGGAATTAGGCAACTTTTATTTCAATAATAGGAAATTAACTATTTAATATATTTAATCCTTTTACAAAGAATAAAATAAAAAATTTGTAATAAGAATAAAATATATATAAAAATATATGAAAATAAATTTATAATAAAAGATACGTAAAGAAACATAAAAGCTTATCGCCAGTGAAGGGACAGTCCTAGTAATATTCTCTAAGCTATTCAAAACAGCGGTACCTCAATAAATTTCATTAAATTAAGTGCCAATATTACCAATGAGAGTGGAGGATATTAAAAAGTTATGCCTTTGACCACTCTTGTTTAAGATGCATTTATGGATCGGTCGAGCGGATAAGATATGGCATGATCGCATCCATCTTCGTTCAATCACAGAGCGTCGTCTTCGCTGATTAGGACACATTCTCATCGTCCACTACAGGAGGTGACGCATATTTCGTTATTCGCTAAACCGTATGATGGTTGGCGTCAAAAGCAAGACCAATCAAGACTGATAAAGTCAGAAAAAATTTTGAACAAAAAAAATTTTACTCATATATGGACCAGCAATATATGGACTTAGACGATAGAAAAAGGAATGGCTTCCATTACTGTCGATGATATCATTAGACTGCGCCGGTTGGAAGCGTTTTACCCTTGTAGCCGTTGGAGCCAGCCTAACCAGTAATGGTGAGAGCTGTTACAAGAAGAAGAAGACCTCGCTTGTGCGAAAGATGTTGATTCTTTAAGCAATAGTAACAAGCAGATGACCATTCCAATGATGAAGACAGTGATAAGATAATAAGGAAATAAAAGTAAAAAGAAGGGAATAAGAACGATGGAACAATGGAAAAGTGTTTTTTTCAAGAAAAAAATTGTAGAAAAATCAAATTTTAAACGTAAAAAAATTAAGGAACCATAAGAACCATTTAATAGCGAACACTAAAGAGGAGTACTAATCCCCTTTAAAAGGGCTTAAAGAACCAAATTTCCACAATGCCTACTTAGCACACTTCAATATAAGGTGGAGTGGTAGAATCAGAACCATCGATAGACTTTCGATTCCTCTCTCTCTACAATGGGCTCATTTTTTTTACTATGAATCAAATCCCTTTTGATAAAAATCCGGAATATATATCGTAAAAAGATGCTGTAAAAATTAAATTTGCATATATTTTTATTAAAAAATAATTTTATAAAAATAATTTTTCTTAAAATTATTTGTAATTTCAAATTTTTATTCTTTTTTTTTGCATTTTTCGCTGCTTTATTTATTTTCTTCGTTCAGTAGAAATGAAATAATATTAATCATTTAAATCCCCTTTAAAAATTCTTTACATTAAATTATATTTAATAAAATATAATAAATTTGATAATAAATTTCGTAAAAATAAAAAATTTATAAAAATTATAAATTTTAAATTTAAATTTAATTATAAATTTAAATTTATAATTTATAAAATTATAAATTATAAATTTTAAATTATAAATTTATAAAAATTTATTTATTCTAAAATATCAGAAAAATTTGTATCAGAAAAATTTGTCAAATCTAAATTTCGTTGATTATATTAAAATAAAATATTTTATAGAAAAATAAAGCAAATAATTTAAAAACCATACTATAAGAAACGAACCAATAAAATTTAATTTATTACCTCGCATAAGCCATAAGCAAATAAAAAGTATGACTCTGCGAGAAGATCCGTAAGAAAATTCGCTGAAGCAAAACATTTTTGGGATCATCGAAGGCTAAAAAACAAAAGCAAAGAAATGAATGTAAAAAAATAAGTTTTAGAACCTCATTCACCAAATATTCACCGAGCAGGCAACAATGGACTATGTGAAAAGAAATATGGCCATTTTCAAATTGTCATTAAATGCAGGCTCATTTGAAAAAATGTTCCTTCGGCTATACGTAGATTCAATTTTTTTCATTTGATAAAGCTTAAGGCTTAAAATTGAGAATGAAAAAAAACTGTTTGAATCATGATGTAACCAATTCGTTCACATAAAACAGCATGTTAATGATTTTTTTCCCATGAACAACTTGTATTTTCCCATAAAATTCCTAGAAATGGAAATATTTAATTGTAATTGCAATGTATAAACAAGAATAAAAATTTTTAACTTTTATTAACGTAAATTTTGCAACCAATAAATCAACGAAAAAAAACAAATTTTAATCAAAGTTGTTTCTTCCGGAAAGAACATCCTTCAGTTAGATGTGCTTTACCTCCCGTCGGCTGACATAATACTGTATTACAGCCTACGCAAACTACAACTGATTGTGCATGACTGAAAACTGTAGTAATTTTATAGCAACCTGGACATTTTACATCCATAAAAAATGAATTCGGATGTTGAACTAATCTTTTTAGTTTACATCGTTCGCGTTCCTGAAAAATTTTCATATCAAATTTTCGTTTTTTTCCTTTATTATTATAGAATTTATTATAGAATTCAAATCATAACGTATTCAACTCAAAGAAAATTAAAATTAAATTAAATTAAATAATTAAATTAATATAAATTAATGAAAATGTAAAATATTCCATATAAAACCATTTCAGTTATAATGAAAATAACCAGAAAAAAAAAGCAAAACAAACTTTTTGTGGATCGGGATGCAATAAATCTCTAGCGAGTGGCATTTTAATTTCGTTTAATCGAGTGTAAAAAATTTATATAATCAAATAACTGAAAATAAATCGCGTTGTTATTGCTTGTAAAATTCCTAAGTAAACAAAACAAAATCGTATGAGCTCAATAATTAAAGAAACTGAATGGTAAAAAATTCTCTAAAAAAAAAATAATGAAAATGAATAGTATCAAAACTAATAACATATATTTAGTAAATTTTCATTGAATATAGAAAAAAACCATTAAAAAAATCGATTGTTTTTGATTTATTTAAGCAAATAAATTTTATTTCAATTTTACCATTCATATTACCAAACGCAAAGGATTAAAAAGAAAAAAAAAACAAACTTCAAATTAACAAAATTAATTAATTAATTTAAAAAAATTAAGAAAATCTGAATTTTTATAAGAGTATTTAATTAATCGATTAAGTGGGCATTAAGCAAAGACTGCTTAATTTTATATTTCAAGTCAACTGGAACTTTGAACCGTATATAAACGCTCTTCAGCTGAGCCATTTTTAAGAAATATAATATCGTGCAAATTGTAGTAAATTGTATAGATAATTTTTATACTTATCTGTGATAATTTACTTCCACAAAACTATAGATTGATAAAACTATGTTGATAAAAAATTAGAAGGAAAATTACGAACAGTTTTGCACTACATCCAAAATTTTTTTTTACAGCTGCTAGTTAGGCTCGCTCCACCAGCTCTAAACGAACTTTGCTAACAAATCGCCTGCTGACAGCAGGCATAAGTGAACCAGCATCAACCGGATTTTCAAAGGATTTATTCTTAGCATTTATAGTAATAATAGCGGTTTTTCAACGGTATCTGACCCTTTCACCATAGAGCCACTTGGGGATAGAGTTACAAGTGGGTCCCCAGCAGCCACCCGGATTTCTGAAAGTAGTAATAGTAAGTAGCAGGTTTATTTCTGCCAAAGACAAAATAAAATTAAACTTGAAGAAAATAATAAAATTGACAATGAAATTTAAAAAAAAATTTATAAACATATAACTATATATATATATATGAAATACATATATATATTATTTATACAACTTAATTAATTTGATTTACAATTTATTTAATTTAATTTAATTGATTTAATTTTATTTTGTTTTAATTGTTGTTTGGTAAAAAACTTAAAAGTTTAAGAAGACTTAGCTGAATTGTGATCAAAAATGAAAAATAAATTCACAGATATAAATACAGAAAATTTTCTGAAATTACCGCTCAATACAAAAATTTTATATATTATAATTTTATATAAATCCAAAAGACGAAGGTTCGCACCTATATATACCGTGATCCGTTTGATCTTACTATATGGTTCTGAGACATAGCCAATGAGAGTAGAGGATTTAAAGAAGTTATCTGCCTTTGACCACTCTTGTCTAAGGTAGATATTACGGATCCGTCGAGCGGATAAGATATCACAAGATAGCATCCATCTTCGTTCAAATACCACTTGCACAAATAATGTTATCATAGAGTGCCGCCTCCGCTGGTTAGGGCACATTCTCCGTCGTCCACCACAGGAGTTGACGCATATTTCGTTATTTGCTAAACCATGTGACGGTTGGCATCAAAAGCGAAGTGGGCCAATCAGGACCTGGACTGATACGATGAGAAAAAGGAATGGAAAAAGGAATGGCTTCCATTACTGTCGACGATGGCATCAGACCGCGCCGCTTGAAAGCGTCTTACCCTTGTAGCCGTTGGAGCCAGCCTAACCAATAATGGTGAGAACTGTAAGTAGAAGAAGAAGAAGATCATAGCGGTCACAGCACTGGTCATAGCGAACATCCACAACAACCCATTTTAACCTTTCTTTATTTCCGCTACTCGGTGAAAATTCTGCCTGAAGAAATATGATTCGCCAACCGAGTTCAAATCAGATCCATTCTTGATTCTATATGATAATTTTGCTATCACTGATTACTTTAATTAAATATAATTTACAATTAATTACAATTGATAAAACAAGGATGCTTCCAAGAAAAACCAAAAAACTATTCATCAATTCGAGTTTGGCTAAAAACTATCTGTTTAAAGATGAGAGAGGAATTTACTTGATAACAAAATAGAAAAATCCGCAGACCCATTTTTAATGAGATCTTCACTCTTACCACGGAAAAAGATATCTGAAAACAATATATGGCCAATCTAATATATCAGCCATCCTAACAAGTTCCACGCAATAACAACGCGAATAAAAACAAGTAAGCCGCAACACTCCAAGGATTAACGAAAATAAAATGCAGAATACCTTTTAAACGAAAACTCGACATGACGTCTGCTTAGTTCCATTCGCGAATTATAAACTAAAATAGAGCAAAACAAACGAAAAACTATTTCGCTCGAAAATTATAATAACTACCAAGAAATTTCAATCCAAATCTAATCTAATCGTCTATAATTTAGAAATTTAATTTCTAAGAAAAGCAAATCTTAAAATTTTGAAGGAATTTACAAACAGCAATATACAACAATGATTCTTAAAATTTTAATAAAAATTTCCAAATATTTCGTCGATAATAAAAATTAATCGATTGCCGAATGCATCTATTTTTTTTTGAATAATGACCACTAATTCTGGCTAGGTACACCGCACTGGTGCGTCGGTCCAAGCAAATCCTTGCTAAGAAATTTCAATTGACGATAAAAGAGTCGCGGGCACTACCTGGGGGTTTTTGAAAGATGATTTTTCTCCAGTAGAAGTAACAAATCACTGAGTAATTCTACCTCTTTAAAAGAGACTAATAATAAAACAACATCTTAGAAATAATAAGCCCCCCCCCCCCCAAACCCCCCCCCCCCCCCTCCTCCAACCTCTTATCATAATAATTAGACAAATTTAGCATCGTTCAACTAAGTATTGAGAAAACTTTGCCCAATTTTCTTTTATTTTTGTGCGACAGATGAAAATTCAAGCGCGCCTATTCAAAAAACCCCGCCCCACTCATTGTGAATTCCTTCAATTACGATATAATAAAACAGTAGAACGAGCAAGAATTAATGCCATGATGAATAAAGCAGTGCTATAGCATTCATCCTGCATTATTATTTTCTATGGTACCTACCTTGAAATGTATATTTGATTGGTACCACCAAAGCACAAAATATTAAAAAAACAAAGGTATATCATCTACTGACAGTATTAAACATTTAATGCTATAAAAAACTATTTTTTTCCAATGATTCTTCATTATTCGCCTGTTTTTTTTGCGTAAGCCTATTCTTCTCTATGCGTCATTTCACCTAACCGCACATTTATATTCATCGTCCTCGTTCTAATCTCCATCCCCTCCTCTTCCTTGCTTCTTTCTACCTCATACAATATCAACTAGTCAAAAACTAGTCTATGGCAAAATCCAGCATATGTAATAATAATACGATGGTGTGGAAAAAACTGCGAACTATGATAGATATATTATGTATTACGTGCAATAATATATTATCGATAAATTACCAGTTTATAAGAAATGATAACGCCATATCACTTTATCAAAAACAAAAAACCAAACTTTCCCATTTCATAAAGTTTGGTCTTAGAACGATTTTTGCTTTACGGTAGGAAATTCTTATTTTTCATTTTTTTTGGTGTAGTACCAAAATGGCATCATTAATTCATCGAAGGGGGTTGTCGACGACTGCACGAATATGTGAAGTGATTAAAGTACCAGTAAAGGTTAGGTTTCTTTAGGTGTCTTTTGCCTTATTTGGAAATCCTATTAACTTCATTAACTTGACTTCATTTTTTCACTTATCATTTTTGGCCAAATTTTTCTATAAATTAGAGATCGGTGGATATTGTATTAAATTTTTTGACAAAAATACGTTAAATGTGTTGGTCTTGAAATCTAAAGCTTTTCTGTTTTCTTATATAAAGCAGAAATATTTAGTAGAGAGAACTCAGACGATGTGAAAACTTGCAATTTACTTTATACAATGTACTTAAGATTTTGAATAGATTGAACGGGTTTTTGTTATTGATTAAATGAGTTTGACTGAATGGATGACTACATTATCATGCGGTGAAGATAAATTTATTAAATGAAGATTAAATCCAATTGGTCAGAGGACCCACATCTAAATCCAGAGGACCCACGCGTTTTTTTCTCCTCTAGAGAATTCTCTCGTGCAAACCTTTATATAAACATCATATTTTTACCAGCTACGCAAATGCAATCTCTGGATGACTGAATTAGAAATATTTGTAGGCCTAAATAAGTAGAAAACACAAATTTTTATAGGTGCATGGTATCGAAGGTCGCTATGCTGCTGCTTTATATACTTCTGCAATGAAGCAGAAAAAATTGGACGTTATTGAAAAAGATATACAATCCTTCAAAAAAGTCCTAGAAACTAATGAAAAGTTTAAGGTAAATATTTTTTTACGTGTTATTATTTTTGCTTTTTCCAAAATATGTTGAAAATATACTTATTACACATTTTATATTTAATATTTTTATTAATATTATGTTTTAATATTATACTTTTAATATTATCATTTGCGCAAAGTTTTGGTTCTATCAGCTGAAAATGATTATCTTCAGATGCTGGCTGTGGATCCAACGATAAATCCTCAAAAAAAGACTACAATAATACAAAATGCTCTTAAAGCATTTACGCTTAGCCCTGAAGTTCAGAATTTCATTGGTAAGCAATATCCACAAATGATTGGTAAACTTAATAACGAAAATTTACTTGAAGTACTATAGGTTTTTCGCTTTTATCTTTTATCTTTTTTTGTTTTGTTTTTTTGTTTTTCTTTGTAAAACATTAACTTTCTACAGACTTTATATTGGTTACTATTTTGTTCAATTTCTTCCAGTATTCTTTTGGCACTTGTTTTTGAAGAAAATTCTGGATTTTTAGGGCTCAAATTGCAACCGTGGACTTACTTTCGTCCGGAAAGATTTTTTTGGGTTTTGTCTTTTTGTAATAGTATTAACCTCAGCTTCTTGATCTTCTACGCCATAATCTTTTCAGTTCTTTTATTATTCTTCTGATGATAATTGGATTTTTCGAATTTGTGTTAGATATGATTCTTTTTATTTTATTTTTGTCGAAAAAAATTTTTCAACTTTTTTTCTAATGTTTTCATGTTTTGTTTTGACTGATTTACCATCTTCTTCTTGTTTTTCAGTTTTTCTAAATTATCTTTTTTAGACGGATTATTCCCCTCTTCATAAGCATAGTTATTTTCCCGGTGTTTTGAAATTTTTTTGAAATTTAACCGTAGCATTTTTTATTTTTTTAAATTTTATTTTATTAGATATTTCGTGAATCACATTACTATATGTTCTCTGATTTTGATTCTACGAGCAATTTTCTCTTATTAAATTTTTTTAAGCGATAAACTTAAAAAAAATAAATTTAAAAGAAATAATTGAAATAATTCAATAATAATTTAATTCATTGAAATAATTCAAGATGATAAAATCTACGAATATAAACAATTATTTAAATTATTTAAAAGATAAAGTCACATAGGTCACATCATTAAGCAATTTTTTTCCAGCAAATGATTGTACATTTGACATTGTTCCACAATTTATTATTTGTATTTTATCTCGTTTTCTAGTTCCTTTAGTGAATTCAACCATTGTCCTATAAGAGTTATGGAGAAAATCAATTATTATATTTAATATTTTTGTTATTATATTATATTAGCTTTTTAATTATATTTTTTCTAAATTATGAATCCTTTTTAATTATATTTTTTCTAAATTAACTAAATTTTTTCAAAACTCTAGCTTTTTGCCAAACTCTATAAAATTTGGAAAATCTCTCCTTTCATTGTTGTATCATATAAAGGCCAATTTCTGAATTTTCAGTTATCATTCGTAGTATAAAATAGTATAATATGATTTACTTCACAAAAAAAACGTTATTTATTATTTTAAAAAATTTAATTTTTTTTCATTTTATTACTCAAGGCTATTGTTTTTATCCATTTTCCTTATTTATTAAAATTATTTCTAGGACATTTATTGAAGCTAACTGAAAGGTAAAAAGAAATTGCGAAAAAAAAAGTTTTAAGGCTGGAAATCTTGTAGCGATTCTGAGACGATTTTTTTGTATGAATTTGCAATTTTCTCCATAGGATACCAAAAAAATAAGAAATTTTCTAAAATAATGCAATCTTACGAAAAGCAAAAAAGTCCAAAGGTTTGTTCGCTATAGCACTAATTGCTGACATTTGGGAATTTTCATTTTTTAGATGAAAATCTTGCGATAATTTTTCTTTCCATCGGTTTTATTGAGTTTTGAGTTGTTTATTTTATTGAGTATATTTCTGGAAAAAAGGAAATGGCGAATCGTATCTTCAAATTTTATTGGAAAAAAAAAATTTTTCTTTCAGTGTTATTGGCTGAGAATGGTCGATTAGCGAAAGTGCAAGATATTATCAAAGGTTTCGAAGAGATAATGAAAGCCCATCGTGGAGATTTGTTTGTCGAAGTCATTGTTGCAGAAGTAATAATAGATTTCTTTTTTTCGTTTAAAAAAAAAGGTTCAAGAATTTTAGCGAAATATGTTGTTATCGTAACGCTTCAAACAGCTCGCACTATTTACTCGTTCCACTCACTTAGGCTTAGAGGGTTTTTTCTGGCAGAGATGATGCTTCTGAAATTCTGAAGCCATGTTTTCAGTATAAGCATTACCATCGCTGAAATCACTTTAGACCTTCATTTTCCACTTCTTTCCTAGTTTCTCTTTCAGCCGTTGATATTTTTCTAGTTCCCCATACTCTTCTCGGCGTTTTTGTCACGTGATATTGCTAAATCTATCACAAATAGTGATTTATGATTTCACGTATTCACGTCTACTATCACGATATCATGTTGATAGGCAAGTACGTGCTTTTCTCTCTACATAGAAAAGTCACAGAATCATGGGCTTCTACGATTTTTTTCTATGATTTTATGGGGGATTTTTCATTTGATCTTTGGCGGAGCTAAGTCATATACTTTTCAGCTCAATTTTGCCTTTATTATATGCCTGTTTTTCACTTTGTATTGGACAGTTTTTAAGACTTTTCTGCACAGTTTATACCTTGAGTCCTGTCTAAGGTGGTAGATTCTGTTTCGATGGATCTCAACGCAACATTTTACAATTACGATTTGTTTATTTATTTAATTAAGATGTTAATTAAAAAATTATGTTTGAATGTCCACTTCTCACCCCATTATACTCGCTTAACATGTATTTCCCTTAACTTAAATACTAGCAAACTTCCTTATCGGACTTCATTAATAAGATCTGAAACCCCATAATATTCCCTTAAGGTTTCTTCAAACCGCTATTTGTTAACTTCACATTCTTATTTTTGTTTGGTTGACTGAACACAAAAGTGCAAAAGCGTCGCAATTTTACTTTTCTGATTTTGCTGACGTAAAAATAGGCTTAAATCTAGGTTTTCTTTATAATTTAATAATTTACTTAATCTAACTATGTTTTTTCGCATTTTTTCTCTCTATCACTATCAATAGCCTTTTTGTTGCTAATTTTTTCTTATATGGACGTTATTATATGGACTAATATTCCTTCTGGTTCTTGGATTCCTCACTTAATGCACTAATAAATCGGATGATATCATGGATCCATTGATATTCCTTTATTCCTATCTAACTCCAATGCATGATTTTGAACCAGGAATACTGAGTTTAGAAAAAGGGAAAAGGAGGAGGATGGAGAGAAAAATATGCTTACTTTAAGATTAAGAATTATGTATTATGTCAAAATTTCTTTCCTTCAATTTCTTTTTGTATTTTTTCCCTTTTTTGAGAGTTTTTTTCTGAATCATTGGCTTAGTAAGGCAATTGTTCCAATGGTAGATCTATTAGGATAGTGTCAATGAAATGAATTCATCAATTTCTTTGGTTGAAAATTTAATTAGAAAATTTTATTGGTTTATATATTGTAGAATTTTTCATTATTTTTTTTAAAATTATTTTTTTCAGCCATTAAGCAAAAAACATGAAGATGCAATAAACGATGTGATAAGAAAATTCTCGAAGACAGGACAGAATTGTAAAGTAACTTATAAGGTTAAACCTACGATTATCGGCGGTTTCATGATGACGATCGGTGATAAACATGTTGACATGAGCTTATTAACACAAGTTAAACAACTTGAACAATCTTTGCAACAAGTAGCTTTTTAAATTGTTTTCTTTTTCCTACGATTATTGGCGATCGGTGATAAACATGTTGATATGAACTTATTAACAGAAGTTAAACAATCTGAATCTGAATCAATCCTTGCAACAAATAGCTTTTTAAATTGTTTTTTTTTTCTTAGGAAGTTTTTAATTATTGAATCGACTGTTCTTTTGTATTTTATTACATAGTTTCTTGAAATTCAGGCATTTTTCAATATTTCATTTGTAAAATGATGTGAAGAAATAATAAATATTCGATTATATTTTGTCGTGCTATATTTTCATGAATCGGCGATGCTTAGTGAAGGATAAAAAATGGCATAATGCAGACAAGATGAATTGATATTGACTGCTCTTTGCACGTATTTGTCTATAAGGCTTAAATGCAAGATTTAATAGGCTTAATGACTTCGGACGCCGCAATTTTATTCTAGATTTTGAGTTAAAATAATTAAGTTTATTCCTTTAAAATATTTATTTTACCATAAAAATGTCATAAAATATTAGTATTATTTTGAAATAAAATAGAAAAATGCATTAGCATCTATTAATACGAGTCAATGTTTAATGCTATTCCCACAAAAAAAAAATCTGATTTTTTAAAATATAACCGTTTATTTTTAGATATCAGTAGGTTGAATAGATTGCATGATAAGCAAATTCTTTACTATTACTTATGCTACTTGACTTGTGAATAGTAAATTTTATACGTCTTTTAACATAACACTATTGCACTATTTATTATTTTCGACCATATTTATTATATTTCCTCTGAGAGGAAGGCGCTAAGGTCCGTAATGTTTGACGTTTGATGATAAAAAGACAAATGGATTACGAGCAAGCATACAAATTTCGTTGAAGTTTATAGCTTGATAGGTCTATAAGAGGATAGGAATCGAGTTGAATTTTATACTTTTTATATTTTTTTCTAGTTAGATTTCTGCTTATCGAACTAAAAATTTTTTGAAGAATTATTTCGCGATAAAAATCTATAAGAGTTGATTTAGTACCATTCATTGGAAGATAGGCTTACTCCTATGGGGAAGGGGGGGGGGGGGGGGAGGGCGGAATTGAAGCCCAGTCTCGGCGCTATAAAATGATAGCAGTAACTCGTTGAGCCATTCATTATAAATTTCATAATAATATCTTAATTTTTGATTTGAATTTAAATTCTATAAGAAAAATTCTTAGAACATTTTAAATTTAATTTAATTAAATAAATTATTTTCATTTTAATTTAATTTTTTATTAAATTTCAATTTATATATTTATTTTACATTTTAATTTAATAAAACTATATTTTTATATAATTTGATTTAAAAAATAATTTTATTTTATATTGAAAATTTTTTTATTAAAAATTAATATTTTATTTAATATTTTTTATATAATTTTGTTAAATAGAAGAAATTGATTTATTAGCAATATTCGTCTTATGTCTTCGATTTATTTCTATTAAACTTTTCTAATGAATCAATTCCCATGAGATTAGTTATTTTATAAAATTTCTTGAAAAATAATGCATATAGGATTCGTTGAATAAATTTATTTATAAATATTCGTTTTTATTGCCGATTCATTAGATTTTAATTTTTTTTTTTTTCCTATTCATCCTCCCCATATTTTAATTAAAATTTTTTTTGGCTATAATTATTTATGAGAAAATGAAAAATCCATTTATTAAAATAATGCCTCATTAATTTTTTCTTAATTTTTGATATTTATTTCATTGGCTAAACTTTGATTACCATTACCATTACCATTAAGGTTAGTACCATTAGTATTAATATTTTCGTTATTCGACGCTCATATCCTGAAATTAACCTATTTTCAGCTTTCTAAAATCCAGCTAGCATTGCAGTTGAAACGCCATTTTTATCATTGGAGAATTTTTTTTTGTGATATATTTCCACAAAATATATTTTATGATAAAATATTGAAAGTTGATCACTTCATTGTTTTTATTTTCAAATAAATTAAATTCCATGGATTAAAAATATGAATTAAAATATGAATTAATGGATATTATATTTATTTATTTATTATTTATTTATTATTCATTTATTTGTTAAATTATTTATTATACAATTTTAAAAAAATTTAATAAATATTTCTTTTATTCGTAATTTATTTAAAATAGCTAAAATTCATTGAAGCGAACGAATAATAAATAAATTAACCCGACAATTGGATGAACGATTCGCCAAAATAATAATATTTCGATAAATTGAAATAATCGTTAAATTTTTTTTTCCATGTTTCATTTTTATTTATTTCTTTCCTTATTTCCTTTTTTTTTCTTTTTAAGGATTCTTATGCGTCATTATGCTTTCTTTTTTTCTAGAAGAGGAATGGAGAAGGAGGCGATTGGATTGAGAAAGGAGGAGGAAAAAAATTGAGTATGGTAATTTTATGTCTATTTCGCTTCAATTAGGCTAGTTCCACACAACTATTAGCAATCACTTGGAATATAGACGATTCGTTAGCATCATCCATAGATTCTTTTAATAACTCGACTCGATATCGAAGATGGGCGACAGGCTACTTGTTTTTAATTAATTATCCATTATTATCCTATCGGTTTATCCTATCTCCTTATTTTCTATGCGTTTTCTTCGAATTGTTCTGTAACGTTTGAAAAAAAAAAAATTTATAATTAGAATTATAAAATTTTATACAAAAATTAAAATAAATAATAAATATAATAATAAGAAAATAATAATAAACAATTATTATTATTAAAAATAGTAAAAATGATTTTTATAATAAAAAATTATAAAAATTATAAGCAATTTAATTAAATAATTAAACATTTAATTGATTGAAGTGAAAAATAATTTGATAATTTAATGGATAATCAAATTTTGGCAAATTTCTTTATTCATAATCAATTTATCGTTTTCATCAAATTTCTATCGTTCATAATTATTATTTTCATCATTAATTTATTTATTTTAATGGGTTTATTTGTTAAAATTTTAGATTTATGCTGAATTTATAATTTATATTTTATAATTTATTTTATAATTTTATAAGATTTAGACTGATTTATTCTATTCGGATTTGACTAATTTTTTTTTTTTTCTAAGTGTTATCATTCATGATTTCTGGCCAAGTTTTTTTAAATTAGAATATTGGGAGCAAAGGAATTTCTTCAAAGAATCGAAATGATAAGTGATGATAAAATGATAAAATTGATGATAAAATTGCAAATGAGCCAGATTTTTGGGAAGAAAAAAGAATAGACTTATTTTTGTTGGCAATAGATATTGGCAGTCTGAAAATGAAAACCACTAAAGCGATTCCACGACGACTTGATTAATATTTTCGATTTATGGTGTTCCGAATTGTGCAAATTTAAAAAAAAAAAAGTAATTATTTTTAAATTATCATTAAAATTTTTTTGAGTCCGCAATTTCAATTTTAATCATCGATGATAAACGAAAAATAATTTCGTTAATTACTTTTTATTTTTAAAATTCTTTAAAATTTTAAATAAAATTTATTGATAAATTTATTGATAATGTACAAGAAGAAGGAAAAATGTGATAAGTCGCATAAATTTGTCCCTTTTAGGATGAACTAAGGTTTAAGTTTAGACTTAAATATTTCAGGATTTTTCCAAAAATTAGAAAATCTAAAATTTCAATAATCCCAAAAAATTAGAAAATTCAGAAAAATTCTAAAAAAAAAATTTCCATAAATAAAAATTAATTTTTAGAATGATAACCAAAATCTCTTCGTCGTTTCCTTTTCTTTTATCTCCAGTAGTTTACACCATTTCTGGATTTGATTTTTAACTCTACTAGCCATTTACTAGAATGAAACGTCCATCTTTTAAAATCTCTTTCTTACTAAAATAATCTTCTTTCCTTTCTTCTCTTTGCATTTTTGCTTTCTTTTAGTACTAATGGGATCATAGAAAAGAAAATTTTTTTTTTAATATTATCATTTGGACAATTATTATCAATTGATTATCATTTTTGATTATTTTATTATTTATCACTTAGCTATATAATGAATTTATTTCCTTAATAATTCGTTTAATTGGAACTTTTATATGCGAAAAATATATTTATTATTCGCGTTAATTCGTTTATTATTATTACTAATAATTTTTTTTTCTACATTTTTAATTCCAGTAAACAAAATTTGTTAAACAAAATTTATGCTTGAATTAATTGAAATAGTCATAAAAGTTTTCATGCAATCATGGATAAAGGAGGATTTCTCATAAAATTCGTTTATCTAAACTCATAAAAACACAAAATAATTTTGTGTTTCAAATATAAAATTAATAAAATTTTCGTCAACGTTTTCGAAATATTCTAAAATATTGCTAATATTATTGGAAAGCTGAAAGTTATTATCTATATAGGCGAATTTCTGAAATTCAGTTTTTTGTAAATTTTTATAGGTTTTTTTTTTTATTAGATAATATATGATATTATGGAAACGTTTTGAAAAATCTTTATTTTTATACTTTTTTTTTAAAGAGTTCTCACCATTACTGGTTAAACTCGCTCTTCTGGCTTGTCGCATTGTGCCAGGGAGTCCTTTGGCGATAGAAATACAGGTGAATCGCCAGCATCACCCGGATTTTTGTACAGGAAATCGAACCTCAGCATCAGTGCTCCAAAGTGAGCAACAACTCACTGAGCGATTCTATCTCCAATCAGTTATTTTTATATATTAAGGAATGGAACATATCTTTAGGATAAGAATTTTGTTGCTGAAACTATTATAATTGTGGTCAAATCCACTGTTAAATTCTTCTAGCTTGCAGTTGATATAATAATTTTATAGAGAATAATACAAAGAATATTAGAGTATTTTTGAAAGAGTTCAAGCTAACATTGACAATAAGGAAAAGTTAGAAATTGTTATTAGTGAACGGGCAAAGCTAGTGGCACTGCTGTTCTTCTTCGTTCTTCGATAATCAACGAATACAATCATCCATCCATCCATCCATCCATCCATCCATCCATCCAACCATCAATCCA